ATATAGCCCCGCCATTACGTAGTGCATTTCTTATGCGAGTCAAGATCAATACGTTTTGGGTCGACACTATGGTGATGGAGCATTTGTGACAATGAATCTTACCTTGGCAGACGTCCGATGCAGAGGACTTCTAGGAACCATCGGCTTTTTCATACCGCTGCACCGACTCTTAACGCAGATCGAAGCCAGAGTAACTAGGCCCCGTATTGATTGTTAAAAGCTGCTTATCGATACCTCAGTACGGACGAGTTTGCACACACTAATCCCCTCTCTCTCTCTCTCTCGCTTCTTCCGGCAGCGCCAGTCACCCGGTATATGCCGTGTTACGTCGAACAGCACCCCGCGGTCTGTACCACACAAGAGAGAGGCGTGGAACCCCTCCAAATCACTGCGGGTCCTCGTTAAAATTGGCCATTTGTCTTGTTCTATCTTGCCCTCTCCTCTCGGCATCATGTATGGAGCCGAGACATCGGGAGCATCCAGGAGCCCAAGGTGGTGGCGGCGGTACGATGTCACAAAAGACTTCACGCCGTAGGTTGTCAGATCTTTAGCGAAACGCCATGTCTCTTCTTTTTTCCCTCATTGGATTTCTAGATCTAACATGATTTGCCAATATAGGAGAGCCGAGGGCTCGATGCAGGAGAGACTCTGAGCTGTGGGTATGAGTTAAACTGAGTTTCAAAACGCCGGTCTCCCATGATTACAAATTCTCTCCTTCTAGACTCTCCATCTCCCTTACTTTTTTTTTTATTATATACCCAACTTTCCTTTCCTTCGCGTAAGCGTCACCTCACAAGCCACTCTGATTGGAATGGCCCTCCTGAATCTCCGACCTCGTGCTGTCACTCGCATTGCGGATGTCCTCGAGCCTAATACCGCTGCGGTCGCACATGCTCCTGAAGATACCCCCCTCCCGCTGCCATAATGCAAGAGGAGTATCCAGTTCCGCAATCCGGCCAGCATCCATGACGCAGATGCGGTCGTAGTTGATAATGGTGCGCAACCGATGTGCAATGCATAACAGCGTCCTGCCCCTGAAACTAGTGGCAATGGTGTTCTGGATCTTGTCGTCCGTCTCCATATCGACCGAAGATGTGGCTTCGTCGCAAACAATGATGCGGCTGCCGCGAACCAAGGCGCGAGCCAGAGCCATGAGCTGCCGTTGCCCGAGGGAGAAGTTGAGGCCGTCCTCCTCGACAACCGAGTCGAGGTGGATGACGGACGAGTCTTTGGACCTGGGGTCTCCCAGGTTGGCATCCGCTGGGACGAGATCGGCCTGTCGCAAGGCTGACCACAGCTCCAGGTCTGTGTGCTCGCTGAACGGGTCAAGATTGGACCGAACAGTGCCCTTAAAAAGGGTAGGATCCTGAGGAATGATGGCCAGGCGGGATCGCAGGTCATGCAGACCAATCGTCGAGATGTCGACACCATCAATGCTGATGTGGCCTCCGGACAACTCAACGAGTCTGAAGAGAGTGGACATGATAGATGACTTGCCTGCACCAGTCCGGCCAACGATACCGATACGCTCGCCTCCTTGCACATGCATCGAAAGGCCGGAAAGCACAAGGGGCAAGTTGGCTCGGTACCGCATCTCAACGTTGTCGAAGACGATCTCGCCCTTCTCCGGCCACGAAGGTCGGACTTCGATAGTGTGCAGAGGCGCCTCCTCCTCGAGCTGGGTGCCGTAGTACTGGATTCGCTCGACAGCATTCATGCCGTTTTCGACCTCGGCAAGCTGACGCACGGTGAACTGGATCATCTGCACGATTCCGAGGATGTAACTAAGGACCAGGCCTGAGATGCTGGGCGACACGTTGAATCTCGAGGTCACAACGAGGATGCCGACAGTAAAGACTAGCAGATTGCCAATCAGGTCGAGGCGAGTCGAAAGCCAGCGTTGGTTTGAAAAAGTGAGGTAGTACGCAGCGTTCATCTCATCAATGGCCTTTTTCAGGTCGCTGATGAAATAATCCTTGAGTCCGTAGGCTCGAATGCTGGCGACACCGCTCAAACCTTCGCCAAACTTGGCAAACACAGTCGACCTGAGAACCGATTCGAATCGCTTGACCTCACGCGCCGACGCGCGGTAGTAGGACGAAGCAAGTATGAAAATGACAAACAGTGGTCCAAGTGCGATGGCAAAGTAGTGGAAGAATGCAATGATGAGAGCAAAGACGGACAAAATCATGGCCAACGTGAAGAAGTACATTCTCATAGCGTCAGTCAGGGTGTTGTCCATCACGTCGACATCTCTCGAGAATCGGTTCGTGATTCGGCCAAGGGGAGTCGTGTCGAAGAACGACATGGGAGCGCGGAGGACTCTGGTCACCGCCTGCCGCAGCATGACTTTGCTGGACTTGGTGCCTAGGATGGATAGAAGAAGCGAGAAGATGAACATAAGGATCGCCTGAAGGGCACCGAGGCCGGCATAGATACCAATGTACTGTCCCTCGGACAAAGGATAACGATTGCTTGTCCAGTACGAAAGCCACAGACTGGTCATGAGGTTTGCCCCCTGAGAGAGAATCAGGAGAAAAAACAAGAAGGGCGCGTTGAGAATCGATCCGGAGGCCCGGATGTAGTCTCCATATACCTTCCAGGGGACGCTTGAGACAGCACGCTCCTCCTGCTGCATGAGAGCCGCGCCCTTTTTGTTCTTCTTCTTGTCACCTTGGGGCGCCTCGGCCAAGTTGGTTTGGGGGGCATCGTCCTTTTCTTCTTCTTGTGCAGTCGTTTCCAGCAGTTGCTGGAAGCCGCGGTGATCTCTCATCAAGTTGTCAAAGGTGTCGACAGCTTGAATCTTGCCTCCCTCCATCCAAATGATTCTGTCGCACCGGTTGAGAACCCACAGCTGATGAGTCGCCAGCACTCTGCATTTGCCTTTTAGCAAACCAAGGATGGCGTTGTCGAAGATGTGACGTCCGACGTGAGCATCAACAGCACTCAGAGGATCGTCCATGAGTACGATATCGGAATCGAAGTAGATGGCTCTCGCAATGTTCAAGCGCTGCTTCTGGCCACCGGAAATGGTGATGCCACGTTCGCCGATCTCAGTCAGGTCGCCGTTCGGCAGCATGGCAAGATCAGGCCGGAGAGCACAGCTAAGTCTAGGTCAGCAAAGATCATGGTAGGGGAAATTCCGAGTGTGCCACTTACGCGTTAATAACCTCTTGGTACCATTCCTTGTCCATGTCTTTGCCGAAGAGGATGTTGTCGCGAACCGTGGTGTTCTGGATCCAGGCATACTGCGGACAAAATGCCCGAGAAGCACCGAGAACAACCTCGCCAGATGTTTTTCTCATGTCGCCTGCCAGTGCGGCCAGTAAAGAAGTCTTTCCGCTTCCCACGGTGCCGATGACGGCCACTAGCTCATCTCTCTTGATCTCAAAGCTGAGGTCCTGAAGCTTAAATGGTTCTCGCTCCTCCTCAACAAGGGTGCTAGCTTCATCACCGGTGCTGTCCCCGGACGAATTCAATGGCTCGTCAGGCTTGGGGGTGGCCTTTGATACTGCCGAAGGTTTAGGAGCGCCCTTCTTGGCGCCCTTTCCAGCCCTGGCTACAGTCTTTTCGGATTCCTGTGTCGCCGTCCGTTCCCAGGTGAAGCTAGCATTTGTCATCTCCAAGGCGTTCTCTCCGTCTGGCTTGAGAACCACATCCTCCTCCTGCTCCTCGGCTAGCAAAAAACTCTGGATACGCTTTATGGATGACCAAGCATCGACGACCTGACCAAGAACCAGAGGCAGCAAGTTAAGTGGGATTCGAAGGCCGTTGAACAAAGCCAGGGACGAGAAGACTTGTGCGGGGTTCAATGCATTGTTCGTTTTAGAGTATGTAACGAATGACAGCATGGACGCGAAGATGGGTAGCGATAGACTAACGGCGTTGATGGCGTTTCGGATGGCCAGTAAGATCTGAATGGAGTGGATTTCGCGTTTTCGGATTTCTTTGAGACGTTCAAGGAACGCGGTCTCCCAGCCAAAGTACTTGACGAAGCGCACTGACTGCAGAATCTCTTGGGTCAAGCTCACCCGCTGATCCGTGATCTTGTTGATGGCCATTCTCCGCTTGAACAAGCTTCTAATGGCCCTCGTCAACAAAGGGAGGCCTGCGACCAGGAGGGCGAAGCCGGCCAGAGCACTGTAGCTCAAGTTGATCAGCAGGACAACCAGCGTGATGACACAGGATATAGGAGCGGTCCACGACAAGTGGAACAGAGCAGAGGCCTGGTCGATACGGTACGTGTCGACACTCATGAGGTTGACAATTCGACCGTTTCCCCAGCCGGTTCCATCTCCCAAAACGCCTGGGCCTCTGGAGGCATCGGACTTTTTCCCCTTCTTCTTTCCCTCTTTGTTTCCCTTCTCGGCCACTGGCGGGCTGTTGGCTGGCTCCTTAATGCCGCCGGCCTTGGCACGGCCAGACAGAGACATGGCCTTCTCGAAGATGACGCTGATGAGGACGGCTCTCGACTGACCACCCATCATCATGCCACGGTAGATAAAATGGTTCGTACCCAAGCTCTGGAAGATTTGCATAAAGGTGACGCCAAGAACCAGACCAATTCCTCTGCCAATGGGTGGAGGCGGCGAACCTCGCCGAGAAGCGTCGTATGCGTCATTTGCGAACTGAATGAGGTAGCGCAGGGTGAAGGGGGACATGACCTGGAAGACAGTAGCCATGAGCTGGAGCAAACCTCCGAGCCAAAACTCGAAAAAGTAAGTCTCGTGCAACGCCCACCAGAGCGGGTACTTGTCTCCTCTGTCGACGCGCTTCTTGAAGGCAGCCTTGAATTTATCAGTCATGACATCCGTGGCTCTGTCCGGATTGACAGCCCAGATATCGTTCGGTTCCAGCTGCCGCTTGTACCCAGCCTACGGTTATAAAGTCAGCACAATGGCTCGCAGATTTGGAGCGACCTGACAAGGGTCGAAGCCTTTCGATCTCATGTCAGTACTGCACTGGGTGACTTCACTCACGGTCATTATTGGGGCCATCCACTGGAAGGTCAACAGGCTGAAGAAGCTGGCCTTGTATTCCCGAGATACAATCTTCTCTTCCGGAACGGGTGGGATGCCGCCCCATCTCAGGGGGTTTGGCGTCTTGTACCATGGCTTGCTTTCAGGCTGGCGACGTGTGGCAGTTGTGGTAGCGACGCTGGTGTCAGTAGCATGGCTTTTGGTTGCTTTCAGGCCGGGTCTGGCTCTCTTCTCGTGGAATTGGGAACCACCATCCTCCTCAACTGCCTTGTCGATGTCAATGGCAAATGCGGTGTCTTCCTGGGCGTTGGCCGTGATAGGCTCAACAGCAGCGGCTTGTGGGTCGGGGGCCGTGATATTGGTCTTCTCGTCCTTGTCTGCCATGCCTACTCTGACAGAAGACTCATGTGAGTCCTGTTTGGCTGGTAGTCCTTTGGCTTTAGACTGTAAAGCCTGTCTGGAGCCTCAGGTGGAAGGGACAGTAAGGCAAACCCGATATTGCTCTCTGAGTGGCGGGAAGCTGATTTGATAAGAGGGGCGAGGCTCACTACGCTTGCTGTTTGATCGGAGATGGACGTTTATGTCTGTCACTAGGGAGAGAACAGCTCGTGGCAGTACGGGCAGATGTGCATCCCGGGGGCCTGCCTATAAACAACAGATACGTCTCGGGTTTTGTGACGAAATCCGACGGGACTATGGGAAGGGTGTGGGTAAGGGGGAGACTGTGAACGGTGTGAGAATAAAGAAGGGGCAACAAGAGCAGAAAAGTCAAAGACGTAGTCGGTTACGGTCTCAATGTGGGGGACAGTACGTGTAATGATAAAGATTAGCGACAGTGGTGGGATGTCAGCGAAATGGAACCCTCAGCAGCAGCTTAGGAGATGGGCATGCGATAGGTTGTCCTGGGCGGCCAAGGAGACGGGACATGATTTGACTATTGGTCCTATCCACCCGGAAAGAATTCCAACGCTACATTACACTAGTATCAGCAGCAGCGGATATGGATATATGGATGTCAGGTGGAGACTCATTGTGACTAGGTAGGTACGGTATGTAGTGTACATGCACAAATGCTACGCAGGACTAGTGTGGGCAAGGACAGAAAGGGAAGCCCTTCCTTTCCCTACAACTTGGTCGTGCTGGGCGGAAAGAGCGAGCCGCGACTGCTTGCTTGGGTTGTTTGGTTGATTGTCTAGGTACGGAGTACCTTAGATAGTAGGCAAGTATCCGTAGGTAGGTAGGCACGGAGTGCTCGTCCGGGATGGCCATAGCAGGACAGCAGGAAGGAAAGGAAAACGAAAAGGGAAGGGGAACTGGCACAGGACGAAACGAGGAGACAGGGGGTGCTGGATGCCATGATACGGCTAGCACGAGGCAAGAAGGTGCCACTCCTCGGCAAGTGCGTGTCGACGTAATCGAGACGAAGCAGACTGCAAGTGCGAGTGCAAATAGCCGGTGCCATTTTTTTACGAAAACAAGGGCAGGTGCTTTCGCACCACCGAACCGATGACAATGGCTCGGCGAACCAGGCGAGGAATCCCGCTCAAGCTAGTCAACGCGCCAACCAACAAATTCTCTTGCTGCACCCAATAGTATTATGCGTAACCAGCAGAATGCTGTGTGCAACTAGATTGCAACATCGGTTTCAACACTCAACGTGCCGGGCTAGACTTGTCCTTCAAACAGAGGCCCACCAAGCACACGACGGCATCCTCTACTAGGTACCTACATCGTACATTACCTAGGTATCTAGTATGTGCGTAGAAATATCCGTCTCAATAACCTCGCCCAGAGTAGCTGAAGTCACATTCCGAAGCTACCTCGTGTTTCTGTAGTCATCTAACCGAGCCCCGCCGTCTGTTGATGCGACAGAGCCGCCTCGCGGTCTTGGTGAACGCTGTCAGCGCGCCGTGTCCTCGTCATCAGACGAACACCTCTCATCGCCCCATCATCCTAACATTTACTTTCAACAACGGCGAAATACCGTCCAAGCACTGGGCGAGACTGCGCATGACTCAACTCAAGCGATACAACGACAGAAATAGCTGCAAATGGCCCCTGAGTATGTAGTTGCTGAGCCTTTTGAAGGATAGGTATCAACACTGCCCGGCCAGGGCACGCAAGTAATACTGCTCGATTGCCTCGATCGTCCAAACTTATCGCATCACAGAGGAAGTGAGCTCAGCGCACTGGCCGGCGAATAAGCTACGCTTGGCGACTGGCGGGTTCCGACCCTATTCTCCCCCCATCCTGGTCGTTATCATGGGACATCGGCAGGATGAAATAAGAAATAGGTCAACACCCCCACCCCTAGGCAATGTGCCCCATTTCTCCCCGTCATCTTGGCATAAACTCTTTCTTCTGGCACCTGTTGGCCGAAACGGTTCCGAAGATAGAGGGGGCGGCGGACTTAGTCGGAGTTCAGCTCTACCCTCTCTTAGCCGGTTGCTTGGTAACCGGATAATACCGAGATACGGCGGCTGGACTGCTCGTTAGCACCCTCTGTAACTACCTAGAGTAAACCCGGAACCCAAGAAGGAATACTGAAACCTCTTTGCCAAGGACTCAACAGATCATCAGCTTCTTGGTAGGGTAGCTGCAGAAGGACCGGCAGACCTCGACAAGAGTCTGAAAAGCAAGCACCGGCCCGCCATGCTAACCAGCCTGAAGTCCCCGACCGACAAGTCGTGGCCAGGAGGAGAACGGTTGGGTCTCCGACCAACTAGCCACTCGTGCTGTTCACTGTCCAACACTCGTGATTGGATGCATAACTTTTGCGTGTCGTCCTGTCGTAAGCCATCAAGTTGTATATCTGGGATTCGGGCAACCTTGATAGCGTCGAGTTCTGCAGTAGTTCAGTGCAGTCCCCTTTAGTGCTGTCCTGAACCCATCCGACGGCCCTCGGCCATGTTGCCAGTTGCTCTAGAGCTTTGGCCGAGTCGCTTACACTCATCAAACTCTATCCGTCTGTATAGGCAGCTTCGCACTCTGGCTGCCGCCTAGGACGGAGACGGACGGGACTTCTGACGCGCGTCGAGCCAAGGCCGTCCCAGCCGCGTATGACCAGCCGACAGTAGGCGGAACATGCACACATGGTAGCCTCAGGGCTTGAACGGGGCTACGGTCATTTGGCAAGCTGCCTGATCTGGATCAAGAACTCGCGCCAGGTCTCTTATTGTTTAGGGGTAAGCTCAGATGTGACACTCCTTGATGGTCCAGAAGTACGATGTTTGCTGTAAGTTCATAAACTCGATAGCGTCATCTGCCCCTGCCGTTCGAAACAGAATAACTCGCCGATTGTCGAGGAGGTCTAAATGATCAACGTGCGCACCGCAGGAATCAACACCCAAGAGGCCAGGCCCATCTCCAGAACTGCAGGGCAATATTTGATGTTATAGTAATCCTAGCAGACCGCGCGCAAGGCGGGAGTCTCAGTACATGTCGTGTTCCCCTCTTAATCTGCCTGGTCGACCATACTTCACTAAATACATTTCTGCGTAAGAAAAACAAATGAGGCCGAGGGAAAGGGGCTGGGGATTGATTAACAGTTATACCCATAACTCTTAAACTACAAAAACACGTGGTCGAGTAAACCGCCTCGAACATACTCCAGTTCAGTTACTAGTACCATACCTCTCGGCCACCTCTTCAGGTTGTTGGCAAGCTGGGGACGTGAGCAACCCTTCCTGTCGGTCTGTTCTATAGTTTCCTCAATGACCCTTTCCACGGGATTTCAATCAACACCGAATGAACCGTTGATCTTTGGATCCGACGTCACACTACCCTCGATAAAGATATAAGAGGAAACGCCAAATACATGGCGAGGAACTGCGTCGTGTGTATAAATATCCATTGAACTCCCATGTCGTGAGCATCGGCACGATGTGTAATGAGCTAGAGAAAAAGAAGAAGAAAACGACCCATGAGCAAGAAGACCAGTTCCTTCAAAGACGGGAAAACCCGCAATGCGCTTCTTATAGAAATGCCTCCCCTCCCCAGCTTCTCGGATGTCTACAAGGTCTCCCCCCTTCTGTTTGCGAACCCTTCGCGCCCAATTTTGATATTGTCTTGTTCGTGCTGCTAGTATACAACCCGTACGCCCACAAGTCTAGGAAAAAAAAAGAAAAAAAAAACGATCAAAATGAGAAAGCGGCACAAAAAACCGCTCCGCAGAGCCCCAGCAAAGCTGGTGCAGGCGTCACTAGAAGGAAGGCGTGATCGCAGTTCCCTGCGTATCGATTCCCATCATGGGGTTCATCCAGTCTTCCAACAGAGCCGGAAAAGACGACGAGAGACCCGTGACGCTTTCTAGTCGTCCTCAGAGGCAGAATCCTCGGCGTCTTCGGCGGCAAGGCCTAGCAGAGACCTGTCCATGTCGTCCAGCTCTTCGTCATCATCGGGGGCGGCCGTCTTGTCGGCGTCGTCGCCATCGTCCATGGTGACGTCTCCCATCGTCATGTCGCCGAGCGTCTCGTCACCATTGGCATCGCCGTTCGCATGGGTCTGTGAGTCCTCCCTCATCTCCGAGGCTCTCTGCGCGTCAACGTCCATGGTCATGTCGCCCGCGTCATCGTTGGCGTTGCCGTTAGTTTCGCCGTTGGCCTTCTTCCTCTTCCTAGGAGGGACGACCCCGAGGGGAGGTCCTTCATGGGCATCCCATCGTTTCAGTCGCCGCGTGGTACGTCTCAATGCTGCGGCGTAGGCGTTCGCCTCTTCGCCGAAGTCGTCGCTCTCTGATGCTAGGGGCGCGATACCCCCGATACCTCTTTGTCTGAAGGGTCCGGCGCTCCCATCGTTGTTTGCCAGCTGCAGACGGGGATCGTCCTCCGGGTCGCTGTCCTCGAACGGGGTCTCAATTTGCTTGATACGCATGAAAGCGCGGTAAAGAGTGCTTCCCTGCTGCCGCTTCTTCTTCGCCTTATGTAGTTCTTTGCGGTAGCCACGATCAAGAATGTACTCAACCCGTTGGTTTCTGTTTCTCTCCACCGCAATTTGGTGTGCTGTCGGCGGCCGAGGCTTTCTGGCAACGATGCCCTCGGCGGAGCCATGGATAGGGCCTGCCGGAGAAGAAGCCTCGAAGATCTGGTACTTGAGTGGTGCACCTCCGCGTCGAGCTGACCCCCCCAGCCCGCGTGCCAACGCCTTGGGTGGCGGCGTCGAACGAACGCTATCCATATCAGACTCGTGCTTCGAAGGGCGGATTCGAGGTAAGATGGCCGGTCCATCCTCGGCCATGACACGAGATGTCCTCGAGCCACGTTTTGTTTGGTTGTCGGCCAGATAGGCTTGGTCTGCCTCTAGAATCTTGGCACGCATCTTCTGTTTCTCTTCGCCGAATTTGATCTCCAGCGCCGTATCAACATTCTCTGCCGCCTCCTCTTCTGGCGTCATCTCGATGAGATTCGGAACGCCTTGGTTAGCAACGTCCACGCCGTAGTCGACTCCTGGGCCAAAGGGGTTCTCGTCACATCCTTCTTCCGTGAAATCGGACTCGAGGTAGAACCACATGATCCAAAGGAATGCCTTGGCGCGGGACATACTGGTGTAGTTGGTCTTCATGACTAGGTCGTGGAACTCTCGTCCGGGGGGGAAGTGTAGCTCGGCGATCTTTGCGGCCGATTGGCAGATGACGAAGAGCAGGTTGACGGGGTTCGTTCGAGGAACATCGCGAGCTTTGATCTTGTTGAGGCTGCCAGGCTCTTCGCGGTCCTCGGCGCCACCCTTGAGGATGGACTTCAGTCTCGGAGCATCCTGGAGTTGCTTGTAGGCATGGGCATCTTGGTGTGCCTGGAGGGAGGGGATGGCGTGGTATGTTCGCAATTGGGCTCGCATCTCGGGGAAGACTGCAGAACTGTTAGCGGCTGGCAATCGATGGGCACATGGAAGAGATGGATTTACAATTGAGCGTCGTGTTCATTCTGCCGATGTTGACCAGCAGGCAGACCATGGCCATACCCTTTGCTGCCGTGCGGTCGCTAAGGAGCTTATCGCGAAGAACCTTGCTTGTCTTGCTGCTTCGCGACATGGTGTCGATGTAGAGATCGGCAAAGTTCTGGCGGGGTCTCTCGGGCTCGTAAGAGTTCGTGAAGACGGCTGTTTCGTCATCGAAGATAGCCTTGAGAAAGTCGTATTGGATGTCTTTGCGCCAGAGCGGCTCCCCGTCCTCCTTCTTTAGGTGCCGAATCTTGCCAGTGATGTTGCTGGATGATTCCTTTGCTGCATTCTTGCCCTTTCCGCGGCCTGATGTCTTCTCGCCTGGCTCGGGTGTGCCGTCCATCATTCGAGTGTCGTCGTCTTCGGTCATGGCCTGCGAGAGAAAGGATTTGCCCTCATCGCCATGCGCAGGAGAGGTAGGCGCCTCTGCGTCCGACATTGCGCCGCCCGCAGTGGAACTGGGAGAAGCTAGTGATATCGAAGGGCGGCGTGAGGTTGGTCAATTGGCGGGAGTCAATGATTCAGAGTATATCCGGATGGGTTGCAATCATTGGTCCAGCGTCGTCTAGCTTGTCGCGCGAATGCGGCAGTAGGCGTGAGTGCCGCGAGTATGGAGCTGTGAGGTTGTTCGAATTAAGGGATGTGGTGTTGTTGGAAGGAAATTAGGGCGCGGGTCGGGTGAATTGAAGGAAGTGGATGATGGATCGGACTTTGATGTGACGTGCTGTGTTGGGTTGGACTTTGCCGACCGCCCAGACCAGCTGCTGATGTTCAGATTCCGCTGCTATGCAACTCTCCAAAAGCGAGGCACGGAGCGCGGCTCACGATTTGGGGCAGCGCGTCAGGCTGACACCAACCACTAAAGGTAGCGAAAGAGTCTATTGTCCACACTTTGGGTTGGGAAACTTCCAGGACAGTCCCGTACAGCACCGCGGGCTTACCTACACGGAGGGCTCTATTCCCAAAGCCCAAGGCGTCTTTAATTTTAGATTAGCATCCCACCAACCACGGACGGACGGGTTCGAGGTTCCAAGCAATGCTTTCGGTGTTCCTTGCTCGCACCCACTGTAACCTACTATACCTCCGCTATCTGGACTCCTTCCCCCAGCCTTACTTAGCTGCCTATGGAACCAATTAGCTCTCTGGACTCAATTCCCCAACCCTCCGCCTCCGGCACAGACACCACAACTCTTTCCACTCTGTATTCATTGAAGTCAATGATGTGACGCGATAGAGGCAATTGCAGAAGGCTCGGGACAAAAACACTGTGTTGACTTTCCGAATCAACCCGATTTTGATTCCCCATCTTTTACCTGAGAAGCGCGCCACCTCTTGTTCGATGGCGTCGAGGACGACGAGTTCGAAGCTAAAGATGTATTTGGCCTCTTCATCTGAATCGGCTCCATATCTTGCCGTTATGATGGATTGCAGCATACCGCTTGACCTCACGGTGCACAAGTCTCCACAGACGAAAAATATTTATATCAGAATCTGTTTTTATTGGGACTTCTCAGTCCAGACTGGCTGTCTACCAGGGGATGACCTTGATCGGCCGCCTCGCCCCGAACCCAAGACCGAAGTCTCTGATGCCTCCAGCTCCCCGCAATTCCTTTCTATTGCAGGAGCTGAAGACCACGTCCATGTGTGGCCATTACCGATTAAGAGCAAGAACTTTTGTAACCCCTCCCCTGTTGTAATCCCAAATCTGTGTGCCTGGGAGGGCTTTTGGTTCCCGCTCTCAATACGTCTCGTGATTAACCGTCCTGTCGACCGTCCATCCGAACCTTCCATTACCAGTCCAGTCTATGCTGCCGCCTTGTCCTCAACATCGCTGCCCTGCCTTGTTTGCCCCGAGGGCAGATCTGCAGCAGCGCGTCGATGATGACCAGACGACCGAGAAATCCACTTTTGTCTATTGTATGCACGGCGAAATGCATGACCCTTCTATCATCGAAAAGCGTCGAATATGCCCTTCGGGAAACGCTGGAAGAAAAGCAGAACATGATCTTCGTAATGCGTAGGCAGATCCAGGATCCGTGTCGTGTATCCGTAGATCAGGCCACGCTGCAGCACACCGCATGTGTGTTGTCATGCAGCCCTGTCGATTCTCAAAGCTTTTCCCAATGTCGGTCTAAGGGTATCATGGAGTTTCGGTCCAGCAAAATCAAAGAAATGCTCTCTATCGATGCCGATGCCTGTCCGAACACCCGATGATGCTTCTCGTCGAGAAATGAGACGCACAACCGTCGGCTCTCGGGATCATGTCGCCGTGTCGAAAAAAGTTGAAATGCAGAAAAAGCGTGATGAATGCGTACCATGTCGACCCATGCGCGCAAACCAAAAGAAAAACGAGACATCGAAAACTCGCAGCCTATCAGAGAAACTGCATGGCGAGCTATTGTGAGGCCTCCATGTGCATCACAATCGCCAGTAGTCATGATGGAAATGTGTTTACCACCAGGAAGAGTTTCCTCCAGGGCCACCGGGGTTGCCGTAGCCGCCGCCACCGTAGCCACCACCACCACCGCCGTAGCCGCCAGCGCCACCACCGTAGCCACCAGCAGCAGGAGGGCCGCCGAAACCGCCGCCGCCAGAGCCGCCGCCTCCGCTGCCACCGTAACCGCCAGAGCCGCCGCCGCTGTTGAAGCCGCCGCCAGGGGCACCTCCGAAGCCGCCGCCGCCGCCACCGCCACCTCCGAACTTGCGGAAGTCACGGTTCGCACCCTGTCCACGACCACCGCCGCGAGGACGGCCGCCGCGGCCACCGCCGTAGGAAGACTCGCGGGCAATAGTCTCGAGGAAGCTGGGAACCTCCTGATTGGCCTCCTTAAGAAGCTCGAGAAGTTCGCGAACGACACCACGGTTGCCGCGGTTGAAGAATGCAGTGGAGTGACCGGTGTTTCCGGCACGACCAGTACGACCGATGCGGTGGACGTAGTCGTCAATGTCGGTGGGCAGGTCGTAGTTGACGACGTGGGTGACGTTGGGAATATCAAGACCACGAGCGGCAACAGCAGTAGCGACCAGGATAGGGCAGCGACCGTTGCGGAAGAACTCCAGAGCGCGCTCACGCTCACGCTGTGTGCGGTCACCGTGAATCGAAGTGGCAGGGAAGTTCTGGTTGATCAAAAAGTCGGACAAGGAGTCGGCCATACGCTTGGTCTCGACGAAAATGAGAGTGAGACCGGCACCGTGCGTGTGGAGAATGTCCAAAAGGACAGAGCGCTTGTCGACGTCCTCGACGTACTCGACCTTCTGGGTAATGTTCTCAGAGGTGGAACCAACACGACCAACGGACAGGAAAATGTAGTCCTTCAGGAAGTCGCGGGCGAGCATCTGAATGTCACGGGGGAAGGTAGCCGAGAACATGAGTGTCTGGCGGTTCTGAACGTTGGGCATGTCCTCGCCCTCGACAATGCGGCGAATCTGGGGCTCGAAACCCATGTCAAGCATGCGGTCAGCCTCGTCGAGAACAAGGTACTTGATGTTCTGGAGGGAAATGCGACCACGCTCAATGAGGTCGACAAGACGTCCGGGGGTGGCAACGAGCAAATCACAGCCGCGCTCGATCTGGCGGAGCTGGGAGCCAATGTCGGCACCACCGTAGACGACGCAAGGGCGGACCCAAGAGCGGTACGCAAACTTGCGAGACTCTTCGTAGATCTGGGAAACCAGCTCACGAGTAGGAGCCAGGATCAAAGATGTAGGGTAGGCCTTGCGTTGACGGCCGAAACCACCGGCAGCATTCGGGGGAACAGTAGAAGGGCCGTTGATGAAGGCCTGGGACAAAATGGGGAAGAGGAAACCACCAGTCTTTCCGGAACCCGTCTGGGCACAAGCCATCAGATCGCGACCGCCCATAACGATAGGGATCGAGTACTTTTGAACCGGAGTAGGAACCTTGTAGCGGGCCATCTCGATGTTGCTGATGAGATGGTCGTCGAGAGGAGGGTTGGAGAAGGTGAGAACGGGCTCAGGGACGTCGTGTCCAGAGGCCTCGACGGGGATGTCGTCGTACTTCTCGAAGTTGATACCAGTCTGCTGCTTGGACGCGTCGTCGACACCAGTACCGAAGAGCTCGCGCTCGATGCGGGGGTTGGCAGGGCCGGGAATGTGCTTGCCGTCGCGCCACTGGCCATCGCCAGAGCCACGAGCCTGCTGGCCGCCACCACCACCACCGTTGTAGCCGCCACTGTATCCACCACGGCCACCGCCCTCTTGCCAGCCACCGCGACCACCGCGAGGGTGGAAGGACTGCTGCTGGGCAGGAGGAGGGCCGGGAGGACCGCTAGGGCCGCCGGGGCCGCCCATGGCAGGCCAGTCACCACCGGCAGGCGCACGAGCATCGAAATTCTGTTGACCTCTACTGTGTGGATCGGTTAGCGTATGTCGTTCCAGAATCAAGAATGAGGGGATAGATGAGGATATTCCGCATCGATGGGGAAGACTGACCCTGCCCAGGCGCTGTTGTTGATACCGCCGCCGCCGCCGTTCATTGCCGCCGCCGCCGCCGGAGCGGGAGCCGGAGGGCCACCATTCATCTTACGCATGTGGGGAGGAATGTAGGAGCGGGGCTGGTTCTGGTCCTGGATGTTCAAGCCAGACATATTGAGTTGATCAGCCATGATGGATGATTTGATCGCGAGTGTCCAAGGAAGTTTAGGTTGCTTCGTGTGTCGACAGAAGGGTATCGCAAGATCGTCGAATTTGGATTACTCTCGAAGCGACTGAAAAGACAGCTGAGAGTAGGTGCGAGTAAAGGGAAGCCGGTCCGCGGTTGTTTTTGTATGGGAGAATAAAAACAAGCAAACCGAAGGATGGAAAAGAGAAATGAAAAACCGAAAGTCGGGTGACTTCCAAATGTTCGTCTCTCGGGATCGTCTATTAGGCAGTCGCGTTGTGCTGAAAACGCACGACGATTAAGTTCAGAGCCTTGTATTTCCCAAGATGCTTCAAAGGAAAGACAAGAGAACAAGTGATGAAAAGTGATGTGTCGGTGAGAAGATGGGGTTGAAGGAATAAGAATCCCTTTTTGTGTGAGGTGGGAAGAGTTTTGTGGGAGAGGGGAGGTGTGGGAGGGAAAAAGGGATTTTGAAGATCGGAGGAGGCAAGAAGTAGGTAGGGGAGAAAAAAAAAATTGGTTTGAGATTGTGTCGGAATCCACCAGAAAAGGCCAGACACCCCTGCCGTCTAGGTAGATATCTACCTACGTTGGCACTGGTGATATTGCTGGGCAGGGCACTGTCACTGGTGCTGGCACTGGCACGGCACCAAGAGGCGGTACCTGCCCCCCCAGAAAAATTCGGCGCCGCCTTCCCCCTTCGCCTCCCCTTGTTATTGCCTTTTACACCTGCCTCCACCCACTCCCACACCTGCCCGCGGTAAGGTGAGTCGAGAGTACCTAGTCGAGGATGGGCTCGCCCCTCAAGGGCCTTGACCGGACTGGCAACACTGGGCCCAGTAGGGTCGCCCGCCCACCGCTCGGGCGGTCCCTAAGACAGGCAGGCTCCAGGCCCCCCTCATCCGCTACATCCCGCCAAGGGGGTGGACAAGCAAGGCACCGGATTGGTCACCCTGAAAGACGTGTAGCATGCGCCTGCTTTCTACCTGGTGGACGACCGGAGGATGATGACATGTGAGGTGACAGCCCACGCTAAACCGTCTCTGCAGCCAACAGCGGCCAAAATGCCCCCCCCCTGGTGTGCTAATCTTTTGCTACCTACACGTATGTATCCGCACTCCCTCTCCTTCTCTCTTCGGTGTCTCTTTCTAGGTCTATGCTACTACCACTGTGTACGGAGCACCTGTGCGACCTTAAGAGGGACCGCCTTGGCAGCGTACCCAAGTCTCTTTCTAATTATTCGGCATCCCATTGGACTGAACGGGAGGGTAGAGACGGAAGCCAATCCCATGGCGGTTTCTTTGAAGGAGGAACCAAAGGTGGAAAGAAATACCTACCTGTAATTACCCCAAACAAGGTACGTACCTACTTTGGCACCTGGCACCTGGCGTCTGGTTGCCAGCAGATAAATAAATGCCATACCTCAGCTGAGGCAAACAAACGTCACGTCCATGACGCTCCGGCCCGCGCGCGAACAGGACCCTGAATCTTGCACGACAACGTTTTCCGACACCTAGGGCAGTCCTAACTGTAGGTAGCGATGCTATGCTAGTAGTGGAAGAGACCGCTTCCGAATGCTACCATGAGAAGCCAGGGTTGGACAACTTTGAGTAGACTACTGTACACTAATATTTGTGGAAGGCTGGCAGTTCGGATGCTCGATTTTGACTGGGCTGGCTGGCACGGTTGGGTGTCGGAGGTACATAGTAATAGTGTGCGGGAAGCAAAATAAGTGATCAAGCTCGGGGTTACAGGGTGCCCCGCAATGGAGTCAACAAAAATGGAGGCAAGTGGCCAAGTGGCGACAAACCGAATGACATCGGTTGCGAGTTGACCGGCCAAGCCTCCTTATGGGATGACCAAAGAGCGCAGGCTTGTCCAAGCAAACCGATAAAACCCTCAGGTAGATACACATCAACTGAGGCGAGTTCTGCAATCCAGTCTGGTGTCTGCTGCCAAGAAAGATAAGCTGCCGTTCTGGTAAGCTAACGGAGTCCGAGCAATACGGCTATCAAAACCCCCCAAGTGACGAGAGGTGGCATAACGCTGAAACCAAACACACTGTCAACTGGACGAGGGGAACAACAAGACCCACATCTCTTCATGGTCGTTATCGAAGTCCTTCGCCGTCATTTCTATCCAAAAGGTATGACCACCAGACAGACACCGTCATGCGACATGCATACGGAACGGTCGCCTCACAATGTAGCAGCCTATCAATACCATCCTTTGAACTTCTTGCCTAAGCAGTAAACGTCATTCCGTGGGGGGGTGAAGGAGAGTTGCTTGGCCATCGGCCCCTCCCGGCGTCTTAGGTTAGGATCAAGCCCAGCGCAGTACATTACTGCCTTCGAGTTCGACGGCAAAACAATGTTGCGCAACCGATGGCCGGCGAGACATAACACCAAAGATTCCACTCGTTTGACGCATCGGAACAGCCGAGTCACCGCTGTCACCCAATAAAGAACAGTAAAAGGAAGGTGTAGAGACTAGTCAGCTTCGACTCTCACAAGGGAAACGCACCATGGCGCGAGTTGAAGCGCTACTCCCAGCCCAGACTATTGGACTACCGGTAGGCATGTACCCAAGCGTATCACCTACGAGTAGTTCGGAACCATCCGCTCCCGCTCCTTGCCTTTTCCCACAAAACATACGAAAGATGGGATGGCCTCTTCTGATAAAGGAAAAGCAACGAACGATTCAAAGGTTCCCGGGAGAACCAAAGTAATCCTTTGCACTGAGGCCTGGCCCGGCCGCCCGTTTCAAAACCCACGGCATGCCTGAGCCTGCGGCAAAACTGTGACCTCAGCACCTGCCCCCTCCCCCAACTGTTGTTGCAATAACTGGCCCGACACAGCATACTGATACAGTGAGCATCACACCACTCTCATGCACGGTTAGGTCCAAGTATGGGTCAGCCTTGTGGCTGCAGGAAAGGAAGGCTTGACCTTCGGCCTTCATAATCAATGCCGTCTTCTCATTCCACATGCCGACAGGCCCTTCTTGGATTGCCTCAACTACGCCGGTCAATGTCTGGGTACGCAATAGTGTCCGTCGTCACATATAAAGTGCAAGTCGAAAGCCCTCGTAACAAAAGCACGGATTGTTCGTAATAGAACTGATGTCTGTATCATTTACCAGCCCGGTCTAGTAGTACATTTTGCTGGCAAGGCCTCTTTTGCTGATGCTGCAGCGCACCCATCGTTGAAAAGCCCGTTCTCCCCTCCGTCATCATCTCACCGCAGGCCACCGCCTTAAGCAGCCTTCACAACCTTGTCGTCGTCGAACTCGATGTCCACGATGCCGTCCTTGGTCACTGCCTTGACCGTCATGCCCTTGAAGTCAATCGGTAACCGCCTCTTCAGCTCGTCCGTGCACATGTTGAGGATCTTGATGCCCTGGCCGAGTGTGATGTCGGGGTGGTGGTGTTTATCGAGAATCGACAGGCAGTAGTACCTATGATTCCCGTGTTAGCCGTGTCTGTATCTTTCCCAACAACCTTGGAGCCACCAGGGCTTGGCAGCTTGCATGCTTCAACGTACTGTGCGTAGCCGTGGGCGGCGTATGGCAGAGGCGCCAGCGACGCAAGGTAATCCAGCCAGTACAGCGCGGGCTTCTGTGTGATGGGGTCGACACCGCCGAGGAGCAGGTTGACGTTGTAGGGCTTCCGCGACCGCAGGCTGGAGGCGAGCTCCCCGCGGACGAAGTTGGCGAGGCCTGAGGGGGAGAGGTCCGTCTCGTTGCGCATCGAGTAAAGCTGAGAGTTCGCTTGGATGTAGTCGGCGAATTGGACTGGGGGTGACCGAGCGGTGTTAGTATACCTTCCCGCATCGTGACGACACCGACGAGGGGTGTTCCTCCAGCGGGGTAGGAGCATCATCATGGCGGTTACTGACCAGTATCACCCGACTCGCCAGAGTATGCAATCAGTGTTTGCTTGTTAAGCGCTCTCGTCTTGTCGTCGGCAGACTTGAGAACCGTCGCGCCACGCATGGCAGCTTTGGAAGCTGCGATGATGGTAAAGTCCTTGCCCGTGATACCCAGTAGTACCTCCCTGCCAGACGCCAGTTGTGTTAGCTCGCTGCATCTTGTTCGACCAATTATTGGAAATCTCGCATCTCACATCTTGACTGCTGTTGCGGTTGCGGCTGATAGTTCGTTGTTGAGGAGGAGGTGGAGGTTCTGGTAGTGGTGATAGTGGTGTTCGTACGTCGTTAATAAGGGTCGGTTGTTCGTCAGCCTTCAACCTCCAAGGTCGGTCAAGCTACCCCCCGGAACGCGCAGTCAAGCTACAGCCTGAAGCGAACGGGCCGCCGTGGGTGAATTCTGCCCCAGTAGACCGCCGTCACCCGGAAAAACCACACCCCCAGTCGTACTGCTCTTGATTGGGTGCATCGACACCCCACCCTGGCATCTGATTCTCCGAGATACGTACCCACCGAACTTTTTTTTTTCTGGGAAGCCCACCTCCAAAAAAAATATCGTCGATGTAGGCGGGCTAGGACGAAAAAAAAGTTGCCCAGATACCCAGGCAAAGCACGCCCCAGGAAGCTCTGCCCAGAATGTCTTCTTTCTTCACAATCCCCGGCGCGAACAAGAAGCGGAAAAGAACAGACGCCCCTGCGGCCCCCAAGAAGCGAATTGCCGCCTCCAAGTCCTCCAACAGAGCCCCTCCGAAATCGTCTGCGGCTAAAGGCAAGAGGTCCGCGACGGCGGCAGTACCCGCCTCCAAAAAGCGAAGTGAGCGCGATGAAGACGACGAATCGATTTCGGGTAGCGACTCGGACGACGGGGACATAGTCTCCGCCGCGGAGGAGAGCGACAATGGCTCGTCGGAGGACGACGGTGTCGCGGGCGAGACTGCCGCTGAGCGCCGCCTGCGGCTCGCGGAACGCTACCTCGAGAACGTCAAGCAGCAAGTGGACGAGGTGGGCTTCGACGCCGCCGAGATTGACCGCGACTTGATCAACGAGCGGTTACAAGAGGACGTGGCCGAGTCCAAGGGCAAGGTCTACCGCACCCTCGTCGACGAGCTCGCCTTCGACCGCGCGACCTCGTCCTTCTTCCGCAACAACACCGAGACCTTCACCTCCGTCGCCGTCAATGCCCCTTACGCCTACACAACGACCAAGGACATGTACCTGCACAAGTGGAGGATACAGGACCTCCCCCAACACCAATTCCCGCAGACCACCAAGAAGAAGCCCAAGAAGCCGCCCGCCCCGCCGCGCAAGAAGCCCGAGTTAGACAACTGGCTGAGGGGCAACCTACACTTCGCAACAAAAAAGTCGTTCCAGCGCCACGTTGACAAGATCCTGTGTGTTGCTGCGTCGCCGGACGGCAAGTACGTCGTCACGGGCGGCGAGGACCGCAGGCTCATCATCTACGACGCCGAGACCCTTAAGCCCATCCGCGTCTTCACCCACCACCGCGACGCTGTCACCGGTCTCGCCTTTCGCCGCGGCACGAACCAGCTCTACTCTTGCTCAAAGGACCGCACGGTCAAGGTCTGGAGCTTGGACGAGCTTGCCTACGTCGAGACCCTTTTCGGCCACCAGGACGAAATTGTGGACATCGACGCTCTTGCTCAGGAGCGCTGCGTGAGTGTAGGTGCACGTGACCGGACAGCACGTCTGTGGAAGGTCGCCGAAGAGACGCAGCTCGTCTTCCGCGGCGGCGCCGTAGACAAGAAGTCCCGTCCGGACGTCGACCCGCGGTCACTCCCGCACGAGGGCAGTATGGACCGTGTTGCCATGATTGACGATGAGCTCTTCGTCACGGGCAGCGATAACGGCTCCCTTGCTCTCTGGAGCGTCACAAAAAAGAAGCCACTACACATCTTCCCCATGGCCCACGGTCTGGAACAAGCCCTCCGGCCGGACGAGGCCTCGGCGGATCACAATCCGGACCCGAGCATCGTGCCGCCGCCGCAACCGCGGTGGATCACGGCTCTCAAGACGATCCCTTACTCAGACGTCATCCTCAGTGGAAGTTGGGATGGCTGCATAAGGGTATGGCGCCTAAGCGAGGACAAGAGAAAAATCGAAGCAGCGGGCGTCCTCACATCGGAGGCCGAGCAGGTCTCGAGAGCCGGCAAGAGCAAGCCAGAAGATGCCGCCGGCGGCTTGAAGGGGGTGATTAACGATATTGCCATCTTTGAACGCGGTGAGCGTGGGCAGGATGGCGTTTGCGTTGTGGCGGCGGTTGGCAAGGAGCACAGGCTGGGCAGGTGGCAGATGCGCAAGGGCAAGGGGAAGAACGGTGGATATGTGTTTGAGGTGCCCAAAGTCTTGAAAAAGCCGGAGGTGAACGGCAACCATAATGACGCATCGAATTCGGAAAGCGAGTAACAAAAAGCATATAGAAGTTTCCCCTCTTACGATGTCGAGAGAGAGAAAGTGGGGTAGGAGAAAGGCACTTACAGAGCATCTTGTACCACAATGTACGAACTATGATATGAGCCTCTACTCTCCGTCGGCCGCGAGTAAATTGCGGTCACTCTTCAAAGAAAAATATTCATTTCTTCATTACCTTCAAGAAGCCGTGCTCTAAATCTATTGGCAATGCTACCTGAACAACGCTGCGCGCCACTTGATAGCAGATCTCGCTGATCTGTCCGATAGACCCAGCCTCCCTTGGCTTTCGCACTTCCACTCCCATCCCAATCATTTACTGTCAACCTTAAAATCAGGGTATCGTGACGCAAGTCTTTTTCACTGGGCGGTGAGATCCACGGTCTCGGGTTTCTCAATACTTGGTATCGCCTCTCCAACATTCCTCATAGAATGCCTCTGCTTTGCATTTGGTTCTGACGACGGCGACGAAGGAATGCGAGATAGTTCTTTCGCTGGGAAGTAGCGGCTCGTCACAGTAGGGCCGTCCATCATTGTGCGCGGTGATGATTTGGGGGGTGCTTCGTCCTCGATGACGATGCTCTCCGGCCTCCTGGCCACTTTGCCGCCATTTCCCAGTGCTGATTTGCTCCGCTGCGTCGACACGGGTGAGGACTGCATCTCACCAAGCAGCTGCTGACTTGGAGAGATGCTTTTCTTCTTGGATCGATGAGTGACTAGCTCGTTGTGACGGTTAGACTGTGATGGCGAGGAAGGCAGTTGGCACAAAAGAATCTCGCTGTTACTGAGTTTCCTCTTGGTACTTCTGGAAGCCGGCTTCTTCTCGCTGGCAGGACTGGCTGGCGAAGAAACCAACGGAGGCAACATCCCAGACATATCACCATCGTTGGCAGGCTTCCTTTTGGTATGACGCGGACTGGTCCGAAGGCGAGCTGGCGTTGAGCTGTCGGCGGTGTGCGGTTGCATGAGGACTGGCGTTCGTAGTCCTTCTGAGCTTTCTTTTAGGGGTTCCAGCAACCCACTCTCCTCACTAGTCGCAGCAACAGTAGATAACGATTGGGGAGCTTCAATCTGCAGAGAAGGTTCCACGTCTTTGGGAGACTTGTCATCTGTAGAGGGCACTGCTTGTGTGGGAGGCTCGGCTGCTGGGGGATGTGCACCTGCGGCATCAACTGCATCGTTTGCAGACGGACTGCCGTGACTATGCAATGATAGATGAGCAATTGCCGGGGATCCCTTAACGGTAGATGACGGGTTCTTTGGCGCGTCAAGCACTGGTTGGGGAGTCCTTGGCGCAGCGAGCTCTGCTTCTTGACACTTCTCTGGCGACTTGCCGGTGGCAGGTGACTGAATATTCGACTTTCGCTTGGCCTTCTTCTCTGCCGCCAGTGCATTCTGTTCCTTTCGCTTTTCGATGATAATATTACGGAGCTCGCTTCGCATTGCAAGAGATGTAATATCCCAATCCGGCGTCTCCTTGCGTATCAACCTGGCCACCACGCCATCTGGATCCTTAAGGAACTCTCGCATGTAGCCAAGGAGAAAAGCGCCACAACTTGCGTGATCTTCTTGCTCAGGAATGCCCTTTGCCGTCATGCCAAAGGTGCCGGGCGGCTCGATTTCCAAGTTCTTTTTGTCTTTCGCTTCTCGAACAAGGTACGACTTGAGATTCCCGCAAGTAGGGGAATGCCCGACGCCTAACGAGTCGAGTGTAATGACTCTAGCCTCAGTGGGATCCTGCTTTCGAGCCAAGGTTCCTATGACTTTCCGAGGCAGCCGCTGCTTGTTGGACGAAACTTTGAGACTTTTCTCTTCGACCTTCTGCGTTTCCTTTTTTGGCTGCTCTTCTTCTGGTTTGTCCTCATCTAGACTCATTTGTTCGACCCGTTCGCCAACAGTGGATATCAAACTCCCCTCGGCTGGATGCTCATTGAGTTCTCCATTCGTCTTGTCCTCGGGGCCCTCTGCGGGATCCACTTTTTCAGCTTTTGGTTGTTCATCGGTTCTCTGCAGCAGCTTGGCTGGGTTGCATACGATTGCCAGGTACCAATGGGCACTCTCATTGACCGGAACGATGATATAGTCGAACGAGAATAGGTCAATCTTTGCTGTCCATGATTTGACACCTTCGTAGTTGATGCTCCGGCCCGCTTTCACGTCAGTCAGCTTAGGGTAAAAGTAGGTGTTCATGATGTGAATCCGATCAGCCAGAGCCTTGTTCTCTCGTTCCAGATTGGCCTGAAGATAACGCAAATAGAAACCGATCAGGTTGTCGTTTAGGTACTCGCCCTCCTCGAGACGCGAGATGTCATCACGGTAGACTGAAGCTCTGTTTTTGCCGATGGCAGGAAAGATAAGGGGCTTGTCGTCCCAAATGCTCACCCAGTCGGGATTTTGGTTGATCCAGGAGATAGGACTGGGGGATTTGCGGCCGTACACGCTGGGCGACGAGTTCAAGATCAACCGAGAAGCCCCATCCTTCACCCGTCTAGAAGACAGTGTCTTAGTTCGCTGAGCATCGATCTGGCAATCCTCGACATCATTGAGAACAAAGAAAGAGTTTGTCATAGGCGTGTGAGTCTTCGCAGACTCTGAGCCGTCCACCTGCATGCTGCGTCGCAGGAGGTGACGACCGGTCTGGGTTGGAGTACTCTGCTGCGCGGAAGCTGGTCTCGGCTGAATCCCTGGCGTCGAGTTCACAGCGGGCTTTAGTTTGGTCTTCTCTTGATGTTCAAGATACTTGATGTCATCTGGCTTTGACGCGCGCTTCTCGCTCCAAACACTGGCCTTCTGCATTTGGTTGTTAAAGGTCTTCTCAAGTTGCTCGCTGGCCTTCATTAGTTGGGCGCAGAAGAACTTCAGCGTGCATTGACTTACCTATCGGCTGTAGTACAACTCATTGTAAGTGTAGAGAAGTCTTTCAGCTTATTCTCCACCCAAAGCCCCAAAGACAAAGCGTCTCCGGGTTGGGCGAATTCCAACACCAAAAGGGGACCAATGCCATCGCCTGCGGATCTATGAATTACCGCGAATGCAGTGTTACTTGTACTGTAAAGCATTTTGGTGCAGTACATCAGCTTTACCTCCAGCCATCTGTAGTCTGGACGTTCCTTGTTGGTGGAATCGACCGCGACCAGGCTTCTGTGGTCAACGCCTACTGTCAGCACTGGGCGATCTTCCGCGGCCAAATGCTCGGCATCTAACGTCTCACCCCCAGAGACAGCGCGAGCGATAGCTAATCTTGGCTGATGAGCGTTCTGCGACCTTGAGAATTCCACCTTGGTCATATCTCCACGCGAACGGGCGGCAGGGGCTTTCCTTGACTTTCGTGCATCTGTGTTCGAGATGCCCTCTGTCGAGGAGGCACGCCGTTCCCTCGGTGATCTTCTGTCCTGGCTACCAAGCTCATCGTCCGAAATGTCTTCTGGCTGACCTTTTGCCGTACCTACGCCCGGGGGTAGATGGAATGCTGTCTTTGAATTGCCCTTAGGTTGGTCGGGAGCACGCTTCTTTCTTGGGGGAGCATCCTCTTCTTTTGTAAGGTCATCTTCGTCGTCCGTGAGGCTTTCTTTGGCCGTGGTTGATAGAGCGTACTGCAAGGGGCGAACACGGGGGGGGCGAGAACGGTGGCGTTTGTTGCTAGCAGTTGCGCTATGTGCCCTCTCTACGCTCCTATATTCGGGGACTTCCGCACTCGACGTCGGTTCGTGGTTCGAGCGGTTACTAATAAGTTCGAGATCCGGCGACTGCTGAGAGTCCGTCAAGTCTACCGTTGGCACGGTTTTTGGCGGGGCACCTGACTTTGGAGAGATGTATCTTGGGATGAGCACGGCAGGGTCTCTGGGCGCTTCGTCTTTGGTCTGTATTTTCTGGCGTTTGGCAGACCTCGAGGGTTCCACTTGTTGTACCGAGGGCAGTCTCTTGTGGCGCGCATTTCTGCCTCTGTCCAAAGTGTTGACCCCGCCGGTAAAGCCGCCGTTAACGATGGATCTGGTTTTAGTGTTGTAGTTCTTCTATGGCTGTGTTAGTCGGCGTTTTGCTTCTCTTGTATGGAAAAGTCACCATCGGATCTGGGACGGGAACACCGTATTTTGAGTTCCTGGCAGCAGTAGGTGTTAGCGACACCCTCGCCCGCAGTATTTTATTGGGTCAGGTCGCACCCGTAGGTCGGAAAGGAGTGATATTCGTTATTGTTGTATTGTTCCCGCAGCTCCTCGGCCCTGTTGTTCATTTGTCAGTGTCAATCTCTTGAACCAGAGGAAGGGCCCTGTGGGCACTTACGTTCGGCCGTATCTCTTTGCGGAAGCTCTTCGGTTGGGAGAGACAATCACTCCGTTCGTACCGGCCTTCTTTCCTCTCTCCTCGTTCTCAGGCGTCCCCCTTACCGCATGCGCAGTCTCCCGCAAAGCTCCCTCCTCCTGGTATCTTGGGGGCGTCACTCTTGCGTTATCGGCTCTCCTTGGCGAGGGCGGATTCGGACAGGGCGCAGACGAGTCGGAAGGAGACGAGGGTCCGCCTTTCTGTGGTGTTTCATCGCAGGGAGGGGTCGTGACTCTGGGAAACGAAGGAGAGGAGGGAGAAGGAGAAAAAGAAGTTGCGTCCGCAGGCGGTGTCGCTTCTTGCTCCTGCTTCATTCACGAAAGTCGGTTAGTAGTGGGGTCCAGATGGGAAAGGCTGGCCACAGCCAGTTCACGCTTGAGTGTTTGGGGGTACCCAGTAGCCGCCGAGACGTAGAAATGGAACGCCGAGAGAGAGAGAGAGAGAGAGAGAGAGAGAGAGAGAGAGAGAGAGAGAGAGAGAGAGAGAGAAAGTTACAGTGGTACCCGCTGACACGCAACGAGCTACAGCGACTCGTCCAGCGGCGTGTATTCGTAGTGCACGACGTGGATAAGCTCTGGTGGAGACCCACTCCATTAAAACCCAGCGCGCCGTAGCGCGACATCCGCTAGGAAGGGTGGCACTTGCTTCTTTGGAACGACAGGCGAAACTGGGTAGGTGTGGAAACTACCTAGGTGATTTGCATTGGTCCCATCTGCTTGGGTCGAAAGGAAACTTCAAATTCAACAGCAAATAGGACTAGGGAGACATACCTGGATCTCTGTATCATATGTCATCTCTATCATTCAAGGGGCTTCTTCCCGAAATGCGAGCTTCAGCCGCTGTAAAGGTTATTTGTAGTGATGGTTGCAGGCTAGCTTCGGGGGAAGGAAGAGCACGAGAAGTTGGGTTTATAACCGCACCCAGATGTTGAAGAAGAACAGAATACGGAATGGTTGTGTTATGGAACAAGGGGAGTAAAAGCAAAGTCGGGGCAATAAGCCGAAATGGCTTCGCCCACCCTGGAACAACTATGCTGCATTCATTCCTTTCCTGCTCGATGGTGTTTCCAGGTATATGAATGAATACAACTGAAGGTGCGGCAAGTGGCGTCCAAGAGTCTAAAGGAGGAAATAAAGCTCTGCGAGGCAAAAGAGAAGCAGACAAGTCCACAAAAGGGAGCATCTGAGCAGGCGAACCACCACACAAGAATGTGCCTTGTGCTCCTCTTCTTCATGGTGCCCTTCAGGCAAGTAGTCAGAGGAAGATGGTGAAGCTCGTTGACCAGCTATACGTTTGGCAGCGGGATATAGGTAGTTTAATTGGCAAAAGGGCGCACCCCCCCGTCTCTGAAGGTATCCTCGGCTGCTGGCTTACAGTACAGTACGTATCTCCTTCAGGGCCCCTAAGGGCCACAGCTGCTGCACCTCACCCCAGGCCGCGACCAATAGCGCTGAAGCCACATGTCCATCTCTGCAAGGCTGAAGCCTGTCCCAAAAACGTGGCCTCCTGCGTCGCATATCTATTCCGCCACGAGCAAGCTTCGTTTCCCCAGGCTTGTTTCCTTTACGCAACTAAGAAGCTGAGAAGCATACGTCCCTCTCCCGACCGATATATAGTCCACCTTTGGTGGCAAAGCGGCCGCCCAAGATGTACAACACGATGACCCGCGCCCAAAATACCTTTGGCTTTTTCACGTCGGTAGCCTTCTTCGTCGCCGCCATCATTGCCCTCTCCGATCTCGTTGCCCCTCGCGCCCCCTCCGTCGGTTCCCTCAAGACGACAAACGTCCAAGTCGTCAAGGGCCGGCCCCATTACTACTCGAGCAAGAAGGAAGAATATGCCATCATCAAGTTCTCCCTCGACGCCGACCTCTCAGACCTCTTTACCTGGAACACGAAGCAGGTCTTCGTCTACGTCACGGCCGAATGGCCCGATAGCTCCAAGGCTGCCGCCGGCACCAATGCCACTAACCAAGCCGTCATATGGGATCAGATCATCACCTCGCCCAGTGCCGATCACCTCGCCAACATTGGTCCTGCTGCCATGCGTAAGCTGAAGAAGAGCGCCGAGGGCAAGAGCATCGACCCCAACCGGTAAGACTGTCGCAGTAATCACTGCTGTATGCCGAGACCCATGACTGACAACTTCGCAGTGGCAAACTCCGCATAAAGAACCAAAGACCCAAGTACCAAATCACTCATCCTTCGAGCAAGATCGCCGAGACCGACAAGGTCGTCTTGAAGCTGCACTATAATGTCCAGCCGTGGGTTGGCATCTTGACATGGAACCAGAACCGGGATATTGGCGGCTGGAAGGCCCTCAAGGGAGGTGTGAGTAAGGCCTTCAAGCTTCCTGCTCTCAAGGTTAAGGAGAACAAAGACAAGAAGAAGCCTTAAAATGGACGAGGAAGTATGTGAATTCGGCGGAAATGAATATAACTTCCTAAACATTCTTACCTCATTTTGCCAGTCATTCATACAAAGTTTTTTTTTATATATATAAGAAGGTCAACTAATGCTGCGTATGTGTATCGTCTCCTAATAATGACCAGGTACACTGAGTTGCCCCCTGAAGACTAGAGCAGACGCCTCGATAGTCCAAAAAGAATAGCTATGCATGTCTTGATGTACTGCGATCGCCGCCATTATAGCCTGTAACCCATCCTTCCGGTTTAGTTTTTGTTCTGTTGGATATCGAAGACATCTATCAGAAACCACATCGCTTGATCAAGGGGTATCTGCTGAACCAAAAACAATCCTAGGAAACCGGGGAACTCCCTTTCTAACTCTAGGCCGCGTCCGCGGAAGCTCCGTTCGTTACTCCGTTCGCTGCTCCGTTTCCACCACGTCCGCGAGGAGCGCCTCTTCCCCGTCCACCACGTCCGCCACGGCCTCTGCCTCTGCCACGCGCATCAAGGTTCGGGGGAGGCGGGACGTTGCCGTACATCGGCTGCTGGGGTTGAGCCGGCATCTCGTGAAGGCCCGACTGTCCGGGATGTTGGACCGGTCCGCCGCGACCACGACCACGACCTCTGAAGTTGCCTCCACTACGCTGGCCTTGTCCATTGGCCTCGTGAGCTTCGTCCGTGCCGTTCTGGTGAGGGCGGTAGACAAGAGTGCTGTGCAGCAAATTTGGTCCACCTCCACCACGGCCACGACCTCTGTTAGACTGACCCTGGCTGCCGTTCGCGGCGCCGCGCCAGGTGCCTCTGAGCGGACCGGGAGCAGGCGCATCCTTGTACTGGGGAACACCCGCTGCCATCGTCGTGAGCGACACTGGAGCTGTCGCTGGCTTACGCTGCATGCCGGCTTTGGAGCCCGACACGACTTGCTTGTACGTGGTGTTGAGAACCGAGGACGAGGCAACGGTCATACCGCGGAATGGTGGAGCTCTTTCTCCCAGAGTCGTGCCACTCATGAAAGTGAGATCCCAGACGATGTCCAAGAGAAGATTAGTGGCGGTACGGCTGAGGCCAACCACTGTTCCCCGGCTGCCAAGAGGCACCTTGCCAGAAGAAGACAAGAAGCTGACCCGGTCGCCGAGAGCAAACTTCTGGTTGCTGAGGAACAACTCGGCATCGCTGGGCTTCATGATGGCTGACCGCGGAACGCCCTTCATGTTTACGACATCTACATCGTGAGACTGAAGGAAGACTTGGGCACCAGCCTCGGCAAGTTTCATGACCACAACAGAGTCGAGTTGTTCAGCTTCGAGGGGAACTCTCTCAAACTTGCTGGTCTGAGCTGCCTTGAGCCAAGCTCCAATCTCTTTCACTCGCTGAGCAGCCACCTTAGGGTCCTTCCAAAGATCGGTGTCGCTGACATCGCTTGCTTGAGGGTTCTGCTGAATAGCGGCGAAGAAGTCGGGGAACGCGGCGACATATCTGGCCAGAAGCTCGATAGCAGCATTGCTAAACTCCCAGCCAGAGTCTGACTTTTGCGAGTAGCCGAGCACCTTTTGCTTCTTGGCATCGAACTTCAGGTTGAGCCCCAGATTGACTCTCAAACCACCAACAGTGTTAACCTGGTAAGATGACAGGATCTTGCTAAGAATCAAAGGGTGGAGGTTGAGCATTTTAGCAACTGCGTAAGACGGGGTGTATCGGTTCTGACGCTTCATGTCCTGGATAATGGGTTTGGCGAAGTCGGGTTCCTTGTGCTTCAAGACAGAAACTCGGATGTTGGCCTTGTTGTTGACATGACCCGTGACCTCCAGAGCTCGTCCATAGTTGTACTCGCCCAAGAAGAAAGCCTGAGTGCCAATTGGATACTCCTCCTCGATGGGGACGGCAGCCTTCTCGATGAATCGCTCGTCTTCGTTGATGACTTCGTCGACAATGGTCTGAGAAGCGTACACGCTTCTCATGCTGGGGTTCAGTGCATACTCTTTGATTAAAGCACCTTCCTCGGTCTTGATCAAGCCCTTCAACATATGGACGTGAACCAGGGATTCTACAGAGCCGATGACGATGCCAAGGCGCTTTGAGTGCCAATTCTCGATGTAGGTAGACTCCTTGGAGAAGAAGTCAATTTCTTTGGGGCCGTGATGCTTTTGAACAACAGAGCCGTTTCTGTCGAGCTCGTAGTCGAAGAGCTCATCGGTGACCTTCACAATCTTGGCCTCTTGCAGGAACGGGTATCCGACGAAGCATCGCTTTCCAAGCCTTTGGGCAGCTGATTGGACCCTGGTTCTCATCTCTGCGTCGGTGAGGGTAACAATCATGCTGGGATTCTTGCTGTCTGCCTGGAAGACATTAACACCAAAGTTCTCCACCAGCATCGCTGTATAGGACAAGGTGTGCAGTGTCGGGAACCCCGCAAGTGCCTCAATGTTGATCTTGACGCCATCAACAAGGCCATTACGGTAGGTGAGACCGTCGGTGCTGGGAAGCTCGAAGATATTCTCCACACAGCGGCAGGGATTAATATCTGGGAAAATACCCGCAAGAGACGAGGGGTAGTTAAAGGCGATATCCGGGTTGTAAGTGAACTTGAGAGCAACTCCAAATCCATTTCGTTCCTTTTGGCCCTCGCTGAGGAGCTTGTTTTTGGGCTCCATCGCGCTAAGCAGGCGCTTTTCGTCGATAAAAGGGATCTTGACAACGGCTTCCCATTCCATCTTCTTTCCGTTCATGTCAAGCTCGAAGTCTCTGGGATAGAAGTCGTAGATGGGGGAATTGGGGTTCGTCATCAAATCCCAGTAGACTTCGGGGACAATGGACTTGCTTCGATCGGGCAGGACACCCATGAGCTGCTCGAAGGGCCTGAAAGGCTGACCCAGCTTGAAGTTGAGGTCAGCTCCAAGACCTCTGGTAACGTCTGTAAGATCTGTTAGCGCGTTTACGTGTGTTGTGTCCCATCGAGCCTACCGGAGGTCAAAGGAGAGTAGTGGTACTGGTAAAACCAAGGCCACGAGGCAATTCCGCGGTAGTAGTAGTACAGAACCCATTGCAGACCTTGCACATAATTCTCACAGAGCTTGGTGAGCTCAGTTTCGTATTGCTCAGGTGCCCACTCTGGGAACTTCTGCAGGTAGTACTTGGTCTTCCAGCCTTGGTACTTCTGGTCATAGAGTTCCTTGTACTGTCGCTGAGCGTCTTCGCCACCAACATCGACAACGGTAGCCTTGTCATAGTTGCGCATAACGCGATAGAGGGCGAGAGTCCCCTCCTCTTCTTCGTCATTAACGTTCTCGGCGCCCTTGGGAAAAGACAGGAGGAGATGGCGATGACCCTCATCATCCTCTTTGGTGCTCCACTCAATGTGAAGAGTGTCGGCAAGATCTTGAACAAATTTGCGATCAGCGGCGTTGAGACTAGTTCCCAGATCCAGTGGTTCGGATGAAGGTTTCTTGACATAGGGACGAATTCGCTGCTTCCACAGATCTCTCTGGGATGATGTCAAAACAAGCCCCTTGCCCTTGGGCTTTTTGTTGTCGGCGCCATTAGATTCCAAGAGTTTCTTAGACTGGAACCATTTCTCATCGCTGACGTCGTGCTCAAATTGGTTCGTCTCGTCCTTGGCGAGCTCGTTGAGAAGCCTCTGAAGACGGGGCAGGTTGATAACACCGCCCTCGTTGATATAGCCATCTCCCAGAGGTAAAACCGACTTGTAGATACGGAACATGGCAGCGAGAGCACCCTCGTTAATATGAAGACGAGGGAGGTTGGGGAGGAAATCGTTTCCAACAAAGAAAGCCATCAGAATGAAGTCGTCGATGACTCGTTCCAGATCAAAGGGGAAACTCAGCCGGCCAGGCTCCTTAAGCTCCTGGAATTCCAGCTCCAAATACTCGCGCACTATACATAGATGCAGCAAATAGAAGTTCTGATGTTCCAGTTCCCTGGTCTTGGCCTTGCTCACACGGCCAAAAGTAACCTCCTCTCGGAGAAGACAAAAGTGAGGGTCGTGACTGAGCAGGCCAAGCATGATGAGATCGGCATCAAGGCCGTAGAGGCAGTGGCGAACGTTGGAGTCATAGTCAGGCTGCGCCTTGGCATTCCGAATGTACTCCATGATCTTGTGCTCACCTTCACCAGGAACCTCATGGCCAGACAAGACAATCTCGCAACCTTGCCAGTCAGCGTCCTCGGAGACCTTCTTGTTGACAAAGTACTTGAGCTGTTGCGTCAGCTTCGCCATGAACTCGGTACCGGGCGTGATGCAGTTGCTATCGAAAGGGGGTTCTTTGGGCATTTCGACGCCCTCGCTGATGGCCTTATCACGGGCCTTCTCTGTGTCGAGGGCAGTTCGAAAACGTCTAGCGCGCTGCTGGTTCATCTTGGCTCTTGGGGCGACTCCGTCAATTGCCATGAAGAAGAGCTGCTTCGGCTTAATTTTCCCAAACAAGTGCTCGATGTAATTGAAGATGCGAATGAACATCTCCTCCTCGCTTAGTCGAAAAGTCGTATCTTCGCCGGTATCTTTGTGCGTACAGTTATGTATAATACCATTCATATCCAGCTACCCAATATTATTAGCTATTGCAATCGAGGTGCAAAAGTATGGGAGCGGGGGCGTACATAGAGACAATCGAACTCGGGAATGCGGTTCTCGGCAATGAGCTGCGAGATGGCCGGATAGCGCTCCGAAAGCCATCTGAAAAACTTGGGAACACTGCAGATGATGGGGTTAGCAATTGCGACGTGTGGCGACCAAGTGAGAATGGAAGCTTGACAAACCCCATGATGTCGTGGTGGTGGCGCGCTTGAGGTAAGCGCGACAAAAGATGCTAAAGTTGATGAGGTTGCGATATGGGATGATTGTTCCAGGAGACAAATGCAACCTGTCCCTTTCCGTCTCAGTGTATTGCAAGCAACCTGTTGAGGGTCGTTTTTTTCGTCTGTTTTTTTTGTTTCTCTCCAAACACGAAGGCAGTCCTGACGCAGGAGGCCAAGGTGAATCAGTCGCAAGCTGGCTGCGACGTGAGAAAAGAAAAGAAGAAATGAACAAGTGAAAGAATATTCAACAGCTGGCTATTCAAAATAACCAGACTTGTCTGCGATTCTGCCAGGTGAACAGGGAGCTCGGCTGTCGAGCTGTGTGAGGGCGAGAGGTTGAGGTCGGAAAGTGTGGAAAGTTGGGTTGCGCGGGTGAAGCTGGACAGATGGACCTGGTGCCGGGCGATATGGTCGCAATCGATATTGGATGATGCAGGAACTTGCCTCCAGCTTTCGGGCGGCGGCGGTGGTGGCGGGGCCAGGCGGGAGAATCCTGTAGCGCTAGTGGCTACAGAGGTTCAGTCATTGCTTCGAGCAGTGTTTCTGGCCTTGCCGATATGACTCGACCCTAGGTACCTAGGTACCTAGGTATCCACGTACAGGGACCACTATCCGTACGTTGTGGCCTGTCCTACGCCACACATTCCCCTCCAGAGCTTGTGGGTTTGCGGCTGGTGAGAATGCGCCTCGGCCACCTGCTTGCGGGGGTGGTCTCGTCCGTTCTTGTCCATTCCCGCTTCGGCCTGGCGTGGCAGCCTTGCCCTTGACTGTCCGGTGCTAGGGCCAAATTTCAATCTACGCGCTGCTGCGCGTTGGCTTTTAGAACCTCCACCTCGCGTCTTTCACTGTCGTTTGCGCCAGCACGAACCTTTTGACTTTCCCCTTGCGAAGCAGCACACCGCCCTCTCAGCCTCCCGAAAGTTGACAATCACTGAATTATAAACTATATTCAATCAATCGTTGAGTGTTACGCAATGGCGCCCGCCCAGGTCGTTGATGATGTCGATGGTAAGCTTCGCAAACGAGCTTCGAAGCGCATTGCAGACTAATCCTTCTTCAGTCGACATGGTTCAAGAAGAGGACGAGGACCAGGAACAGCGTCTCATAAATGAGGGTAGGTTGTCTTCACTTGTAGAGCTACTGTTTTAAACTGACGCGATGACAGAGTACAAGACATGGAAGAAGAACAGCCCCTTTCTCTACGACATGATTCTCAGGTACGGCGAACTGTCAATTCTTACCTTACCGCGACTGACAAGACAAACAGTACCGCTCTCGAATGGCCTACCTTGACCACCCAATGGTTCCCTGATGTCAAGGAGCCCGAAGACAAGAATTATCGCACTCACAGACTGCTCCTAGGAACCCACACTTCCGAGGGCCTTCCCAACCACGTGCAAATTGCCGAAGTCAAGATCCCCAAGTCCATGACCCCGAACCCCGACGACTACAATGAGGATACGGGAGAGATTGGAGGCTATGGAAAGTCGTCAAGCGGCGCGGCGGCTGCCGTCGAATTCAACATCGTACAGAAGATCGACCATCCCGGTGAGATCAACAAGGCGCGCTACCAGCCTCAGAACCCCGACATTATCGCAACACTTTGCGTTGACGGCAAAGTCCTTGTTTTCGACCGCACGAAGCATAGCTTACAGCCTACTGGCAAGGTCAACGCACAGGTTGAACTCGTCGGCCACAAACAAGAAGGATTTGGTCTGGCGTGGAACCCTCATGAAGAGGGTTGTCTCGCGTCTGGTAGCGAAGATACTACCGTGTGTCTATGGTTTGCTTTGCCTACCTTCACCTCCCCAACCTGAGATTAACCGATTTTTGACAGGGACCTCAAGACTCTCCAGAGCGGAAGCCACACATTGAAGCCCACCCGCAAGTACACACACCATACCCAGATCGTCAACGACGTCCAATACCATCCCATTGCGAAGAGCTTCATCGGAACCGTGTCGGATGACTTGACGATGCAGATTATCGATGTGCGTCAACCCGAGACGAATCGCGCCGCCGTCACCGCGAAGCGCGGCCATATGGATGCCATCAACGCCCTGGCATTCAACCCCACGTCAGAAGTGCTCGTCGCAACAGCATCCGCAGACAAGACCTTGGGCATCTGGGATCTCCGGAACGTTAAGGAGAAGGTCCACACCCTGGAGGGACACAACGATGCCGTCACATCTCTCTCGTGGCATCCGCAGGAAGCCGGCATTCTCGGCAGTGGCTCCTACGACAGAAGAGTTATCTTTTGGGATCTTTCCCGCGTTGGAGAGGAGCAGATGCCGGACGACCAAGAAGATGGTCCCCCAGAACTGTATGTCCATGCCTGGCTATATGTATGAAGCATGTATTTGCTAACCAGTTGCATACATAGGCTCTTCATGCACGGCGGACACACCAACCACCTCGCAGACTTCAGCTGGAACCCCAACGAACCCTGGCTCGTCTGCAGTGCTGCCGAGGATAATCTTCTTCAGATCTGGAAGGTTGCCGACTCCATCGTCGGCAAGGACGACGGCGATCTGCCGCTCGATGAGATTGACCGATAGGCAAGGTGGAGTCTCAAGAATACTTACCAGTAAAAATCACTAGCTGCCATGGCAGATACCAGAGACTGAGCCGGGCAGGAGGCTGAAAATGGCGGCGGACGGCACTTGGAGGGCTGCATTTTGTTCTATTTCCTTTGCTTTTGGCGTCCATGGTTATTAGTGGAGATTACTTCAGATTCCCAACATGCTGCCCTTTCAATAATCGAATCGTCTCGCTAAAACGTCTCCGGCACCGCGTTGCCAAACCCTGTCTGGCTTGATGCCTGCTCTTGCATTGGTTTCAAATCGGCTCTAGAGTGGCCTGAACGGCGCCCGTCTTGCTCGAGTCATGGGAGTTATCCCGAACAAGCGGCGAGTAAGAGCAAGTTGTATGTGGAGGACCTCATGTGTCATTAAGGGCGGCCGCGTACAATATTACATCCGCCTGTCCATGGTTGTTCTCCGAGAAAGCGCAAACGCCGGTACTGAGTCCGGAGGTGGACCGGCAGAGACAAACAGCACAGGCAACCGAAGACATAAACAGACAAGAGCACAGCCGCCGCACGTCTCAGCTTCCTAGCCACAGACTCAAGAAATCAAAAGTTGGGGGGAAAGCCTCCGCCCCAGTAACACATTCCCACATTGTATAACAGCATGCTGCATTGCAGTCATCATAAGGAACCCCGTCTTTTGCGTCACCAAGAAAACGCGCCGAAGGCCGGGTACGCACTACGCCACGACGCGCTTTTGAAAGAACAAAGACTTCGCATTTCAATATGAAGGAAGATTATCAAGCCAAAGCCTGCCTGCCTGCCCTGGACCCTGTTTCACTCCCCGACTCCCACAACGCTGCCGCCCATCCAGCCGTATAAGAAACCATATGTGTGTTTGTGTCGAGAGAGAGAGAGAAGAGGATGGAGGGTTGTACATGCCAAGCCAATCTGAAAACGGAGATAAACTAGGACGGAGGGATTTTTTGTGATGTTGGAAAAGATGAGACAAGAAGGCCAGATGGAAAGGAGGGAGGGAAAGGGGGGGAACTTGATGATGAAGCGGACACGACGACGAAAATACTCGAGGGGTAAAGGAAAAGAGAGAAAACAAAAGACTAGAAATATTGAAAACCAACACATCTCACACACACAATGAAGGCCAGGTATACCCGTTACACTCCCTTCGCTATGCACTCCCCTTTGGACCGCCCAAAATCCGACCGTATCGCAACCACAACGTCCAAACCAAAGGCGAGGTCGGCCGTAATCAACAATCCTTAACTAGCCAGCCCTTTTATACTGACGCTTGTCAGGGAGAAAGCAAATTCCAACAGCGGTGCCCGTCCGTTCCGGTAGTGTAACACTCTTTTTGTCTTTCCAGCCTCGCAAACTTTTTTACCCGCATCCCTTGGTATACCGACAACCAACCCCTTTCCAAGTGATCTTCCAAAACCTAGACACCCCTTCCGTTGAAAGCAAGCGTAAGTCCTGAAGGTAATTGCCAAAGGTCAATGCTCTATGTTCGTCTTGTTTTCAAAGTTCGTTCCGCATAAATGAGGATGAGCTGAAAACAATCCAAGGAAGCCGATGCAGCTCGCTTAGATTCCCAAATCGCTAACCAGGTCGTCATTTAGGCAGGAGATTTGCTCGGAGGCGCGACTCCTCCGTTCTGGCGAGCATCGCCGCCGCTGACGGACAGACCACCGATACCGCTGGAAAGGAACGCAAAAGGGTCGTTCTCGTTTTGCGAGTAAAAGTTGTTCGAGGGGCCAGCAGACGCGGGACCGTTGGAAGCCGACTGAAAGGCAGCCTCAGCGGCGCGGCTGTCAAAAGGGCCGGCGGAGTGGGATCCGGGGGCCGGTCCGAAGTGGGTGTTGAGGGAAGAAGGGTAAGGGGCAGCGCCGCCACCGCCAATGCCGGAGGGGAGAGCGTAGGTGCTGGGGGGGCCACCGAAATGCTGACCACCGTAGCCGCCACCAGATGCGAAGCCGCCACCGGCCGAAGCGAAAGGACCAGGTCCAGGGGTGCCGCTCATCGAGCCCTGGCTCATGCTGTAGTTGGAGGGAGGGTCCATGGGGGAAGGGTAGCCACCAGAGTCGGCGACGACAGCGGCACCAGCACGGCTGGCGCCGCATCGCAGACAGCAAACGTTCTTAGCAAAGTTGTGGTAACCGCAGACCTCATTGCCACACTTCCAATCTCCGGCGCGAAACGGGACGACGCCGCTTCCGCCCATGCGCCCACCACCGTGACCCATGTGTCCGTGGTGGTGCTGGGGAGGAGGCATCATGGCTGGTGGACCGTATCCATAGCCGTAACCCATATCGCCGGTAGGGCCAGCGCTCACAGCCGGGAACGAGCAGCGGAAGCAAGCAGTTCGTCGCTGGAAGTTTGAGAAGCCACACGAGGGGCAAGTCCAGTCGCCAGGACGAGGGCGGTTCTTGCTGGGCGGGAACGGGGTAAGGATCTCAGCAGCACGGTCCAAGACGCGGCTGGAGGACGGAGACACTTCAATCGCCTTCTCGTTAAGAGCACGACCGTTCATGCACAGGCTCTCAGCAGCCTAGAACGTCGTTGTTAGTCTTGTACTTGCGGGCCTTGATGGGCGCAGAGTTCTGCATCAGAATGAGGACGACGGCCATTGAAGCGGCTTTGGCATTCCCAACGGACCAATTGCAAAATACCGTGACAGAGTTGTTGCTCGTGATAAAAAAAAAAAAACTAAACTCACCTCCTCGTGGGAAGAGAAGACGGCGAAACCGCTGCCTGTGGGCTTATGCTGCTCAGGGGTTCGCAGGGTCCAGAAAGCAATGGGGCGACCGCCAAACTGGGTGAACCAGCTCTCAAGCTCGGATTGAGTGGTGTCATGGGGCAGGCCAGACATATGGAGGACCTTACTGCGCTCCGACAAGAACGCACGCACATCGGCGCGAGCGTCCATGGGGCGTGTCAAGACATCGGGGTGCTCGTGGGCGGGCTGCGACTTGCGAATCAGGCCTCTCAAAACACGGGCGAGGGTAACGGCCTCCTCCATAGCACGGCGAGGGGACGCGGGAGCCAGGGCCTGAAGGTGGAAAGGCAGGTTATGCTTGATTGGAGCACTGGACTGGACCGGCTCCACCTCCAAGGCGGCACAGATATTGGACAGCATCGAGGGCCCAAAGGGCAGCGATTCGGGGTGGTGCTGCTGCCATCGCTGGTACTCGGTTCGCAAATCGAAAGTACGAGAGTGCTGGAGGTACGGAGGCAGCACTACGGCCTTGTCTCGAGCCTCCCGGGGCAACTGGACGCGGAGATCCCAGGCGTCAAGCGTAACGAAGACGAAATCGAGATTTTGCGAGGTCAGGTGCTCGTTGGCAAACGTGTCGAATCGGTTGATGGCATCGCGGAAGGTTCCGGCGTTACGCACATGTTCCCACGTCAGGGTCGTCAAGCTCGCTAAAGAAAAATGCCATGTTAGCGAGGAAAATTTCCCGTTGTCGTCAGCGAACCCAAGGTAGGCCGTCGTATGACGTGACGGGGAGATGACGAGGTCTCAAGCCTCGTGTGACAACTTACTGCACAAGGGTGTGATCGGAGTGTTGATGGGTTTGACAAGAACGCTCTCGCGGGTGATCTGAAGAGAGGTTCGGTCAGCTGTGAGTGTGATGGCGAAGAGGGCTAGGTGGGCCAGCAGGGCTCGACTCGGGCAGGAGAAGGAGGCCAACGTACCTCCTCAAGAGACTTTGCGTCAAGGAGGATCCAGCCAAGCTCGATAACCTCGGCAGAGTCCTTGGTGACGTAGACTCCATGCTCATCGCAAGTGGTTGCGACGTGGATCACGACATAGCGATCAATGTTGAGCTGGTTACCAGCTTGGGGACCAGACATTGTGGCAGCAGGGCAGCGACGACACGACAGACGACGAGGCGTTGCACAATAAAAAAAATAATGGCGGAGACGATGCCCAGATGAAGATCAGTCGATGCTTCAGAGAGCTGTATTCTTTGCAACTGCAGACAAGAGGATGTTGCAGTGGTTACGACTCGAACAAACGACGGATGCTCGGGGGAGGGGACGGAAGTGGTTCCCGGCAAGCAAGCTTCAGGAGAGGTGCCGAGCAAAGTGAAGTGCACAGCAAAGAGAGAGAGAAAAAAAACAGACCGAAGCGGAAGATGCGGCGGCAACAAGCAGGCAAGGGGAAAAGGGAAACGAGGACGGAATTGACGGGTCCTCGTGTCGAAACGCCTTTTGTCCTTGCAGCTCGAAAAGGGGAGAGAAGGAGATGGGAGGATTTCGGTAGGGGCAAGGAGGAAGGAACCAAAAAGAGGGAAAGGTGATGGAAAGGTAGGAGGGAGGTCGACGCAGACCGCAGGAGAAGAAAATTGGTGTTGGCGTGGGACTTGGGAAAAGTGCTCCGTAGCAGAGTGAGAAAGAGCAAGAGAGAAGTACCTGGCCTGTCCCGGTGCGAGCGGCGCGGCGGGAAGTACCTTCCTTGCTCTTGCTTGGGGGGGGGGGGGGAGGGGCGGGAGGAGGAGGGCAGCGAATCGACTCCCCCCTCTTCCCCCCCAAAAAGATACCAACCACAAGCTGTCAGGTACTTATCCTACCGTTCGTCGCCCGACCTTCCACACATGATTCACATACACAACAGGTACACACACATAGGTAGACACACAAGCAAGAGCTCCCTTTCTTTTGCCAATTTCAGGCGTCTTGAGCATCAGGAATCTGGACATATGCTTGGTTCGCGCAACTGGCGCCCTGCATCGTCCCAAGCACGGCAGGGTCGACATATGCAGTACCGCACGGCAGCCGTGAAGCTCAGAGCTAAAGGTACATCATGACTTACATAACTCGCTGGGCGTGCAATTCTGATACGACGTGTGGAGGCACCCCCCTGGTAGCACAGTACGGCGACGTGGAGGTAGGTTGGTCGATTACTACACAGTGAGGTATTTGCCATCAACCGCCTTCGTAACGGCCTTGCTGCAACTCTGAGCAGCAATTGCTTGCTATACTGCTGGTGGTACATCCGTCTGTCCCGGTTGGGCGATGAGGGAGGCAACCAATCCAGCTTTGATATAGGTTGACAATAACGAACTAGCAAACGTTTGGCCCCAGGGTCTCAACTGCTCAGCTCTCTCGTCTTTGCCATCCCCCCCCCCTCCAAGGTATCCGTGCCGCCTCGATTGCAGCAAACAAAGTCAAGCCAAGCCAGCGATTGAAACGGATTGGAGAAGCCTCTAAGCCCGGCGTACTGAAATAGACCACCCGTGTTCCCTCCAGCCAGCCCATGGTACGAAAGAGTAGGACATGCTGGCCGCGGTGGCACGGTGATAGCTAGAAATTGACTTTTGAAGGGGTCCTAGGCGACCACCACATGCAACCCATACTGGAGCATCTCTACCATGCCTCGCCTAGTAGGTACCTACGTAGGCCGCTGGAGGCGGCGTCATTGCCGTGCCCAAGACTGCGGCCGTGCTCGTTGCATTTATGCCTGGCTGCCGACCCAAGGCACCTCCGTCCGTCAGACGCTAATTACCCGGATACCTTGAGAAAGCCACATCAGCGCACCAAGAGCTCTTGCCCGTTAGGTGGTGTGGTCGCCTAGCCCCAACGTGGGAAAAATGGGGTGAAAGTAAAATTCCATCCATGCTAAAGAACAGAATATGCATCCCGAGAAACCCACCCGTCATACCACCCGCCGCCCCAGATGTGACTTTCGGAACAAAACGCGCACTGCACTTTACCAACCAACTCTCGCACATGAGACAAGGCATCCAGGTGTTGCTGAGATGAAGTTTCTTAGGGGTTCTTTTTATTCTACACGTTAGAAAATAAATAGAAAGAAGAAGAAAAGGGAAAGAAAAAAAAACACTTTTCTTGGCTCCTCGTATTTTCGCGTGAGCGCATGGCCTCTCGCCTCGCTAATGAATCGTTTATCGGTCTGGTACCTATTGGCAAATGTCAAGATTTCGCACAGTGCACCATTGGCAACGACCAGAAATGATATGCCGTATAGTAGTAGTATCAAACCACCTCTCTCTCTCTCTCGTCCGGTCCTTTTCGTCTCCTCCCAGCATGAACCGGTCACTCACGTTGCTCACATCATCATGTCGTATTTAGAACAGAGCAGAGCGTACAGCAATAACAGGCGGCAGCACAACGCGTCCCGGTCGTGTGTCGATCTCGATCATTCGCCGGGGTGGTGCCGTATGCGCCTGTGGCACACACCGACCTGCCGTGCCGAGCCTACACTACCTACCTACCTGACCACCTTATTGTTCCAGTGTCCCTCCAACTCACCTGAAGCTGTGCCTACGCACACACCATCAACCTCCGCTCTCCGAAAGGGCCGTCGCGACGTGCGACCAACTGGCCATTGGACGCTCGTACTGTGAGGGGGAGCTGACGAGCCGGCGGACGACTGCCGTGGAACAGAGATGAGGCACCCTCCCACGTTTGTGTTTGTAATGACCATCACAGCTAACAGCCGTAAGGCACGCTACCTATCGCGAATGTATACTGAACTGAGCAAGTCAATTACCTCAAACGTGATGGCCCGGCTGCGTAGTAGCGCAATTGTCAAATTTTGTTGTCAATCAATAGAGTTGGGCCATCCATACCACATTAACCGTCAATATATGCCATCTCCTTGTCTCCCACGTGGAGCTGCCGAACTAACTTTCCAAGGGGGAAAATGGCTTCTCCAACTGCTCGAAGGTAGTCATGAATATCCAACAAAGGGGCTCTTTCTATTTTGCCATGTTGTCTCTCGAGGCATATCGACCATTCGCCAATGAGAGAAGAGAGCTGCCGAAGGCGCATCTCCTGCAGAAGTCACCAGTCTCCTACGCCTCTCAGTCCCAGGACCAGCGCTAGAACAGCCCCACACAGCCCGCCCTGGCTTGCTTGCCGGCGAGGCGTCATCTCGCTCCGATGGTATTATCAGTCCACACCTTCGTCTCCCCTTCCACAAGCACCCTGTCAGCTTCTGGTCCCCCAACCCGTTTTCATAGGCACCGGCGGTAACGCGGCCTCTGTACCGGCTCACTAGCACCGTATCAAAACTGCAAAGAAGGAGAGGAAATGTACCCTCAGCAAGCAGCACGCTCTGTCGCTCCCCCTTATTGTAGCTCTGTGTGTACTTCGCCGACTACCCACCAGGTTCCCAAGTTCTCGGGAAGCTGTCCCGGCCGACCTGGTCAGTTCTGCGAACGAGGAGGTCGTGGTGGGTGGCTTCTACACTAGGTACCCAGCCGGACACCCAAAACGGATAAACCTGTAATCCAGCAAGGGGTTTTGCCACATGCCCCTCGGACGCAGTCATGCTATAGGCCAATCCGCTGATTCAACGGCTCAGACCTTGAACCATCTTAGTTTAACACACCTCGTCCCAGGACCCAGGCTTCGAGAAGGTTGGAAGCTGTGTCTTAGTTTGCACCACTTCCGGCCACCTGTAGGTATCTCTTGCAGGATGGACCCCGAGGAGCTAACGAATACCGTTGCATCAACCAACATTTGCATTCATTCCTTTTCCCCTTGAGTAAAGACAGTGTACGGAGTACGGATACTGTCGCCATCATCATCGCAAAGCGAGCACAACTGGCAGCCAGAACACACCCTTTCCTCATATTGCTTCAACTTTACAGGATGGCACTCAACAGTTTTCGCGAGACACAACAGGACTGACCTTTGCACCCCTCATTTTTCTTCATTCTTTCAAATGCGCCAAGTGCAGCAACATATACAGTTAGGCCCAATTGAGACTCAGCCTTCGTCATCGGCCTCATTTCCGCTTGGGCTATCCTCAATATCCTTGCTGCCTAATTCGACAATTGATGCCGGCCGCTGCAACCTCCATATATATTCATCGTCGTCGGTACCCCTCAACCGAGATGAACCTGATTTGACTTGTATGTCGATGCAAGGTGCCTTGGATATGCCAATATGTTCAAGCCCAGGAACCAGAGGTTCGTAGACATATGCTGCTGTCGCCGGCCCGTGATCCCTGGCGGCTGACGGAAGAGCTGGGCGTCCAGCCATTTCGAGGGCTCTGTTCCCTGCCCATATGACAGCACACCGGCAGTTTTCTCGTAACAATTTATTTTCCGATGATCGGGCCAATAGTGATGTTACAATGTCGTTGACGATACTATTCTTATCCACTTGGAATTTCGATTTTCTTGAAGATGGCAGTCTATACCGTTCAAATATGTAACCGGACAACAAAGTTCCAGCATCCCAATGTTTTGGCTAGGTCTTGATAACGAATTGACCATTGGTTGTAAAACCGCCCCCTTAGCATCGTAATCATTCTGGACATTCAGCTACCATATGTCAAATCAAGTACGTTCATCAGTCTTGGCCACAGACGGGGTCTGAAGGCGCCCACGAGCAAAGCACTTTGGCACCGCCGGTTTTCAACCCCTATGGAAAGCCGTTACATGTCGTCCCCGACGGATTGTCCGGTGAAGCTGAATGATGGTGATGACCATGGGTCAAATAGGCGCTCACTTCACCGCAGATCGGACATTAAAGAAGCTTATTTCGACGAGCAGCTGGGTGCTTCAGAAGAACGTGGCTAATCTGAGGGTTGCAGCATTAGCCGATGGGATTAGTCGCGATCTCGGAACCGGAAAGCTGCATGTCTCGGACGCGCAGAAACATCCAAACTGAAATGTTTCGCTGGTGATATAGGCATGGCCTTGATTAGGCACGCAACCGCATCTGGTTACGGCGATTGGCGACGGTCGCCGCCCTTTCCTTCAGGTACGAACGACACTGGGATACATCGAGAGTTTGAGTGAGCCACACCAAAAACCCTCTCACTCATCTTTCAGCAAGCCTGAATCGAAACTTTTGGATGGACAGAGGGTCTGAAAGCACAATATGGGGCATTGAGGTACATGGTAGAAAGAGCACCGACACACATCAGGCCACGGGCCGAGAGGTTCGGCTGTTGTCGAGACTGAAACAACACGTGCCGGTTACGTCATTGAATGGGAGGCCATTCCAAGTTGCAGTGGAATTCACCCGCGCATTGGCTGCTTGAGGTAGGTACGTAAACGGAGGCGTCAGGGCGCACACGCAATCTGTTACCAGAAAGCAAGGGAACTTTTGGCCGTTCCAGGTCGAGTCGGACCTGAGCTGACGCATTTAAGCTTCTGCTCGCCTTAGCAGCAACTCTCCTCTTTGCCCTCAAACACCAACAAACTTTCGGTACCCTTTCCATTCAGTACAGTCGACAACTTTCATCCTTTGGCTCACCAAGCATCATCCTCGTAGAACGTCAACTAGAACCGAACACTTCAGACCATCAAAATGGGTGCCATCTCCGCAGTCTTTCTTATCCTCATCACTATCCTCAGTACGTCTCTCCGATGCAAGTAATAGCCGACTAGACTGGGTATATGCTAATATGGGCGTAGTCCCCCCTGTCGGCGTCTATGCTGTCGCTGGCTGCGGAATGGGTAAGTTATCGTCGATGATCATACCCCGACCTCGTACGTGTGATACATGATACTGACTAGCTACGTAGATCTCCTCGTCAATATCTGCCTGACGATCCTGGGATACCTCCCTGGCCACATCCACGCCTTCTACATCGAGTACGTCTATTACGATCGCAAGGAACAGGCACGAGAGGGGCGCATCATTACTGGTCGCGCGCCAGGCGTTTACAGCGACAACGTGCAGAGCGGTGGGCACGGTTATGGGACGATTGCTCAGGGCACGGCCTGAACAAAAAGATGAAAGAGTCTGTTGGTCGTATGGCGAAAGTACATCTGCTGCTTAATCAAGCTCGATGTGGCCCGGGTACGAGCATACGACACGGGAGATAGATCGATTTCGAGAAGAACCATGTTATAGTCGGTGTTGTAATGCCGACATACGACGGCGATCTGGTGTTTTTATGGAACGACAGGCATGGATGTACAATGATGAACAGGAATAACAATCGCAGGTGCTACGTCTGAAATCCTAACCAACTACGTGAGCGTGCCTGGCTTGCGTGCAGGACAGGCGCCGGATCGGAGCGCCAGCGCATCCGACCTTGTCCCTCGCTGCCAGCTCCTGTTACACTGTGCAGGTCATAATGCCCGATTTCACGGGCAGAGCGCAACACCTACATAGGAGACCACAGCGTCGAAGGATGCAGTCGGAGCCGAAAAGAGCTGGTTGCATCTCGGCCCTCGAATGAGCGAGGGAGGGTGGACAACCGCCTCGACAGGGCTAGGCGGTCGGTTCCATGCGCGCGCGCGGTGATCATTGATTCACTCCGACCCTCTAAGATAGGCTGGAAGACTGCCGTTATCGGATCCACAACGGGCGGGAGGAGATGATGGGACAACGGCCACGCCTTCGGTCGTCGTCACTCATGTCAACCACTTTTTTGAAACAATCGTGGATAATCATATATCTGACAATTGTCAACCTGCTGTCAAAGTCCGAGGAATTGCGCCATCTCCACTGCTAGCAGGCTCCACACCGTTCAACGATTAATTGGAATTTTGCCCATGTGAAGGCGACTTTCATCATGGTGGTTAAAAGCCGGCGACCGCAGCCACTGAGGTGTTAGTGACTGGTCACTTTTGGCTATGGCCCGGGCGCATACAGCCAGATTGTAGACACGAAGAACAGCCCAGTGGGTGGGCGAGTTCGCCGAGTTCATGAGGGGAACGGGAAGGAGAGCGAACGGCGGGGACAGTGCGGTCATCTCACAGCAACGTTCAGTCGACACGGTAGGGCCAGCTGTCGTTGGACGAGAGCCAATGGCAGTGACAGGGGGGTTGGCGTTGGACCACCCTTTGAACGGCAGCCACGACACTCGTGCAGCACGCACCTGCTTGTTCGCTGGTGCCGCGTTGCTCTAGCCTGCAATAGGTAGTTGACAGTCCAGCTGCTAGTGCCTCACTACCTCTGCTTCTGCCTCTTAGCCCAGTCTAATCTGCATGTAGCCTGCCTCCTGCCTGTTGCCGCCTTCCCCCCGCCTATTGCTACAACCTGATGCGATGCAACTTCACCCCAGACATTGCCCGACTTGCCTTATTTTTCCCCCCTCCTCCTTTCCTTTCCTTATCAAAGTTTCCTTCCTACCTACCAAGACAAATCTGCAATTGCTGCGGTGAATCAGGACAAGGCCTTTTCCTACGCATCTCGAGGCGATCCGGATTGCTTCTTCTTAAAGAGGTCCACAACCATCACTCACACCTTACACTCGGTCGCCCACTCTTCCTGTGTGTCTCAACCTCCCTAATCTCCACCTCTGTCTGTCTCCTAGACCACCCATCGAGGAGGTGGAAGCTCATCCTATCCAGAACGGACGGGACGCGCTCTTGCTGAAAACCCTACCTCTGCATATCCTCCTTCGCCCACGAACCACATCCCGGTCTTGAACAGCACTCAGCATACAGTCCCGTTCGGCACGCGAGAAGCGACACAATAGAACCAACCATGTCTCCGCGCTCGCTGATCTGACTTTCCCTCAGCTCCATCCTGCCGCACGACGCATCAACGCCGGCCTGCCGCTCTTAACTGGTACCTTGGCCTAGCAGCTCATGCTGTCCTCACTGCATATATATCTATATATATAACCCATTCCACGAGCAACCATCTCCATTGAACATGGATTCAGGGAAGGTCCCTTCTCAGGACCAGTCCGGTTCATTTCAGTCCCATCATCCAACCCTGACTAGTCGCGCTGGAGGCGCTGCTGGTGGTACCCATTCTCCTTTACCACTCGCGTCTAAAAGAATGACGCGAGATTCATTGCCATTTTCATTCCCTCCTCTCTTCCAGCCTGATACATCCTCAACATCACTTGTCCCTTCGACAGCCGAGGGAAAGCCCATACCTTTCGACGGCAGCACTGCGGCACATCGTACATCTGCTCTCCGGGAGCTCAACAGCAACTATCCTTCCCGTCACCGTTACGCCAAGTCGACTGGGGCCCAGAGCAGCACATACTCTCAGCCCGTCATTGTGAGGACGTACTCCGGGTCTCACAGTCGCCCCACGAGTACCAACCGCGGCAACGGTTCCAACGGAGGCGGTCTCGGCTCTCGGGCAGCCTTTTCTGTTGTGAGCAGCCCTGCGGCATCTGTACGGCGCATCATAGCTCTTAGGACTCCATTCAGTGGGAGCAAGCCGTCTCAGCATGGCGGCCTAAGCATAGCGAGAGGCATGGCGAAAAAGCGGCTGGAGGGCCAGGGTGCCCTGACCAAGCTTCCACCCGTCGAAGCATACAGCTTCAAGAGCATGATGGCCAACATCGAGTCGCAGGAGGGGGAGAACAACATCAACGCTGACCTCGACCGTATTGCTGAGATATGTGCTCGGTCACGGTACTCGCTAAGCAACCAGTATGAGGTTCACGTTGCTCCTCACGGGTCCGGTTCATCTTTTGCAGGCCGAGCCTCATCGTCTAGACGCCAACGCCAGAATGCCGGCCCTACGTTAGAGGCCGTTGTGTCGGACGACGAGCGCAGGCATAAGAGGCGCAGCGGTGGTAGGAGAAGAAGTATAGCGATGGGTACACTTGAAACCATCATGTCTTCGAGCCGATCTTCCGAGGAAGACAAGTCGAAGAAGAAGTCGGCCGCAGAGATCACGGCCGAGGTACGGGGCAGGACCGCAAGGAAGTCTTCAGGTAGCACATCGCCGACTTCATCGGGCAGTGAAGCCGAGGGGCCGTCAAGCAAAGATCCGAAGGGCCAGCCTCCGCCGCTTGTGCGGCAGAAGTCATCCTCATTCGCCACGGCCATGCTAGAGAGCACACGCCAGGGCTTTGCCGCCAGTATTGCCTCACCGCGGAACTCAGCAACAGGCCTGGTCAGCGAGCCAGCTCTGCCGAAGACCTCGACGAGCCATCTCGAAGTCCGAACAGATGCTGAGGAGAACGTGGCCCATCGCCGTGCAGCCAAGGGCTCGGACGAAAGGCCCCGGGCTGACGGTCATGAACCCCAGCACCACGAGACCTTGACCCAGCCCGATCAGACGAAGCCACCGGCGGGACTCCTGGCTGGTCTGACCGGCTGGGTGCCGTGGAGACTGCCGCCGATTGTGGGACTTGGGTCAGCGTCTGCTCAAGGCGGCGTTTCGAGGAGCCATGCTGAGGGTAGCTTGCGGGAACTGCTTAAGACGGCCGGTTTCAAAAGTAAAGGAAAGGCCATCGAGGGCCAGTCTTGAGCCTGTGAGGTGACAATCAAACTTCACAAGATTGGGGATAAGACGCCTTCGTCGTGGATGGCACACGCAACTTGGTAATACCATTTGGCCTGAACTGCCGAGGCTCGGAAAAGGACAGTACCAAAAATAAAGGTTCCATTTTTGATACCCTATACACAAAGCGGGAAGGCTATACACAAAACGACCAGGAGGCGCAAGATCGAAAACGGGAAATTCGTATCACCGCCTGTAAGCAGTACAAACTCACGAGCTAACGAATAATCTGTTTCACGGCCATTTATGATACATACTGAATGAGAGGGCATGCCCCAGGATGGGCAACGGGATGGACTAGAAACCGGTTGGTATTTTCAGACTAAAACTTTTTCATAATATATGGCGTTATTCAATTATTGGGCGGTCCGCTAGTAGGTTCATGGTATTTGTCGCACATGTCCTAGATGAGCTCGACCATCTGGTAGCCAGCTCCAGTTGGCGGCCTCCGCGTCTTTGAACCAGGTGGAGATATCACGCAGCACGACGAGGAAGTTCTGCCGTCCTCTTAAAGAGCCCCTGTGTCACCGCCTGGGAGAGAGGACACCCCCCCTTCCCAACCTTTCGGTTTCGACGACGCTCGACGCACCACGTCGTTGCATGAACCACCAGCCTGGTATCCTTTGGCGAGTTTCGAGGACGTGAGGCTGTTTTGCCTGATCCTCTTTCTTGCGGCATGAAATTTGTCTTCTGATTTCTGAACTTTCATAGACGTTGAAAAAGGCAATTCCCAATATCAACCCGATCGAAAGAGGATTCTGAACCTCCTCCCCCCCCCGGCAACGATTATCACAATTCACGGCGGACGAATAATAAAGAAGGCATCGAAGCAAATCGACCAAGTCGCGTCACCGTCATTTGTTGGTGTATTTCCCCACAAACCCCATAGTCTGAGTCTATACTGGGTTGTCATCCACAGCAAGTGGGATGCAACAATGATACAGCTATTCCTGCAACCCCCCCCCCCCCCCTCCTCGAAGACTGGTTTTTTTCCCCAAGGCAACTCACACACCAGTTGCCTCCGACGCCTCTTCCTTTAAAGATCGTTTCTTTTTCTCTCCGCTCCCTCTCGTTTATTTGCGAATGTTCAATGTCTTCAAAATATATCGAGCTCGCAATCCCTGAGCTCGAAAGTAAAAAGAGACGCCTCGGTTCTCCTCCGGCCCCTAAACCCTTCAAGATTCCCCAACGCCGTGCCAACGCAAACAATGCAAGTGTATAGAAGAATCGATGCATGTCCCGGTTCGCCCATTGCAGCAGCCCCATTGCAGAACCACGTCAAATATCAGATCCCCCGAGACCAGTCAGCGCCCACTAGGCCTTCGGACGCTCCGCGGAAACCGTCGGCTTTCCCTCGACGTGGATTCTCTTGGCGTCACCGCGATCATCGTGGGCTTCGGGTTCCCTCTTGCGGTCTCTGGACCTGCTATCTTTGGCTGAAGCGGCTGCGCGCCGCGCTTCTTTCTCCTTGCGCTCGTTCTCGCGTCGTAGCGCCTTGGACTCGAACTCGTGCCAGTCGCCATCCAAGTCGGCAAGCCTGTGCAAAAAATTAGCCAACATTCTCATAAAAGGGTTTTGGAAGAGACAACTCACTCTACAGCCTGTCGCGGGGGAGGGTCCTCGGTGGTGAAGTAGTCATCCGCCAGAACCTCTGCAGCCGATGGCCTCTTTGTGGGGTCATAGCGGAACATGGCGGCCAAGAGCCTATAAGCTGCAGCTGGGATCTTGTCCTGGTATTTGGAGGCGAAGGTGCTTGCACGTCGGTACCCAGGACGCAACAGCTCGAACCACGGCATGTCGACGAGCCCCGGCCATTCCGCCTTGTTCGGGGTGCCCATCACCGCATAAATCTTATCCAGTTGGTTGATCTCGCTACCATCACCCGGAAAGATGGCATGGCGGGTGAATATCTCAACCATGACGCATGCAGCACTCCAGACATCGCAAGCAGGTCCGTACTGGGTCTCACCAAGTAGCAGCTCCGGCGAACGATACCAAATCGTGATGACTCGGTTGGTGTAGTCCAGCTGATGCCTCTTGGCATAGAAGCGCGCCAGGCCAAAATCTGCCAACTTGAGAATACCATCGCTACTGACCAGGATGTTAGCGGCTTTGATGTCTCGGTGGAGAACGCCCCGCTTATGCAGGTAGTCGAGGCCGTCGAAGAGCTGCATTGCCATGTGTTTTCTCTGGGCCGCATCCAAGGTGAATGACGGGTGGTTCAGAATGCCCGTCAGGTCGTGAGACAAGTATTCGAAAACCATGAAGCAGTCGTTCCTCTCGACCATGACCTCTTGGAGCTGGACGATGTTGGTATGTCGAAGCGACTGGAGCAACTTGATCTCTCGAACAGCCGTAACGGGAAATCCATCCCTCTCTCCTTCCATGCGGATGCGCTTCAAAGCTACTAAGCCCTTCGTATAAACGTGCAAGGCCTTAAAGACCTTGCCATACGTGCCAGAGCCTACAACCGACTCATTTCCAGGTTTGCGAAAATATACCGAGTCGGACTTGATCAGGTCGGCGGGCAGCTTGGGTCCTGGTTTTAAGCGCTTCATGATCTTCTTGATCTTTCGTGTTCTGGGAGCAGGCGGCTGCCGCGGGCCTGGAGGGGGTTGGCGCGGCTCCTGGCGAGCTCTGGCGGAAGCGGGCTCGGTGGGAGCACCCCGAGGAATGTCTCTGTCAGCTTCTCTATCCCTCTCTCGAGCTTTGACCCTTGCTCTCTCTCGCTCCCGATCACGATCGCGGTCGCGATCACGTTCACGGTCCCTCTCTCGCTCCCGTTCCCGTTCCCGTTCCCGTTCCCGTTCCCGATCGCGATCACGGTCACGATCTCCATCCTTGGAGTCACGCTGTTGGGAAGCGTCACGCTTCGCAGGGACGGCGTTAAACTTTTGTGAGATCTCAGGCTTAGGCGCCGTCGGAGTGGGCTTTGCAGATGCCTTAAACGCAAAGCTGAACTTCGAAGACGACGATGTAGACTGAGCAGCCGGACCGGACGGAGGAATCCTGTTTGAATGGGGAGCATTGCTCTCACTGGCCTTATCGGAGGGTGTTGTGTCCTCAACTTGTAGGTCTTTGGACGGGCGAAAAGGGTTCTCGCCCACGTCTACATTATCGCCAACATCTGATTTGTTGCTCTGAGCGGGGGTGGTCGATTGCTGAGACTTCACATCCTCCGGGTGTCGCGAGCCGGCATTGGAAGTGTTGGAAGTCCACTGGGCAGCACTTTTGAAGCTGTTGCCTCTGTAGCCACCTCGGCCTTGGCCGAACTGGTTTCCTCGGAATGCAGAGCCACCACGGTAGTTGCCGCGAAAGCTCCCTTGAGAATATTGTTGCATTGGGCCAGTGGGGGCGGATGGTGGTGGTGAGTATGAGGCGTTTGGCGTGTAGGCACCTGACGGACCCGTCGGAGGACCGTAATTAGGTTGTGGATACTGAGGGGGGTATTGGCTTGATGATGGTTAGCAAGTGCGTGATGATGAAATGATGGAGCGATGAGCGACATACTGTGTTGGGGAGAATTGCTGGGAACCCCAATTTCCCCGACCAGCACCGTACGGCGACTGGTTCGGGGACGCGTTGTATGAGTTTGGAGTCGGTTGCGGGGATTGAGAGAATTGTCGAGGGTCACTATACTGCTGGCTGTGAGGAAGTCCAGGTGGTATCTGAGAGGCAAAGCTGCCTCGATGATTTCCTCTGCCACTCATACCGACCTCTACGCTATTGGCGCCGGATGAAGGTTGTGACTTTGAAGGGACTCGGGTTTCGTCGTCTTGTGGAACCCGTTTCCCCGATCCCCTACTGAGGGACCGGGAAGAGGCACGGGATCTAGGCGGTTTTTGACGCGGCCGGTCTCTGGAGCTGCGACGTGGTGATGCTAGACGACGATCACCTCGGACGGATGCTGAGGATTTTCTAACGGGGGATCTCTGTCGATGAGGAAGTGGAGATCGACCTCGCCTTCGACCAGGGGATGGCTCGCGACGGTGAGTAGGGGAATAATCACGGCGGTCTCGTCTCCTGTCTCTATCAGGTGAGCGAGACCTGCTTCGGTGACTTCGACGAGCCCTCTCCTTGGGTTTCGAGCGGTATTCGCGGCGATCGGGGGTGAGTGTTCTCCGGGGCGGGTGAGGGGAACCTCGAGAACTTCGTCCCGTGTCTCCAAGGGGTGCTGGATCTTTATGGTCACGACGCGGGCTGGCGTCCCGTCTATCCTTCTTCCCGTCGGCGCCACCCCTGTCGCGACTTCGGCTTCTCACTTGTTTCGAGGACGGTGATGTAGGACCGTCGCCTCGAGTCGGTCCTCTACTGTGGTCTCGCTGGTGCTTAGCTCGAGATTCGTGCCTCGAGTCGCCAGCGCCCCTGCCACGAGATCGATCTCGAGAATCTTCCCTGTACTTTTCGCGACGGACAGGCGATGGTGATGCTCGACGGGTTCGGTCTCTGCTACGGTCGCGTGGTCTGTGGTGGGTTCGACCAGAAGGCTGTGACTTATCGGGGAGAGGGTCGCGCGGTTTGCTATCTAGCAGTCTATCGGCTTCCCGAGGTCGGCGGTGGGGAGGCGACGGAGATCTGCGTGAGCGTGTCACTTCTCGACCAGCTCTGCCTCGGTCTCTGCGCTCATCGCCTGGTCTGCGGTCGTCTCTCATGGCGACATGTCGAGGGCGTTTGTAATGGTAGGACTCCATCGCTACAGCCGATCCGATTTGAGTTTTTAGGTGCAAGCACGTTGCCAGCCGAGGTTTTGCCGATAACGCGACGACTCAGACTAGGTGGTAAGCGTGATATGCAGTTGTCGAGGCGTCGAAAGTGGTGTCGGGCAACCCAGGCAAAACCAGTCCGCGACAACGAAAAAATAAAACAAAAATGTATCCAGGGAAGTTGTCAGCGCAAGGCTCGCTCTTGAGGGTAGAGCAGGCCAAAGAACGAACAGTTCCGTTGGGTTGTCGTGAGTTTTCGAGGAA